CCTCCTCCTCTCTCCTCTCTCCTTCCCTTCCCTTAAGTCGTGACTGATCTTCACCCCCTTCCCCTGACCTTCCATATTTATGCTAGGCCTACCTGAGAGGAGGGGGGGGGTGGAGAAGGGGCACAAGGTAGAGAAGGCGTGAGGATTTAAAGGGACGGGAGAAAGTGAGGTAGGGACGTGAAGCCTTTGGGGGAGGGGGTTACTGGAGAAGCCTTAGGGAGGACGTGGGAGGGCGTGGAGGGGTCACGGTCATAAATTTGGACAATGTGGTTGAAGATGGAAGCAATGATGGAAGAGTGACAAGCTGGTGATGGGTATTAGGTAGTCTCTCTCACCCCCCCGTCACACACACTCACTCTTCGTCGTCGACACACACTCGCATTCTTCTTCTCTGTGTTTGGTCAGATTCAGATTTGCCCCCGAGGTCTCTGTGTTTGGTCGTGTTTCCGTTCCTCTCTCCTTCATTTATCTTTTTGACTACTTATCATTATTTTTTTCTATATTTTATCTCTTCCCCTTTTCGATTGTTCTTGATCTCGTTTCGTCTCATTCCATTCTCCCCATTTCTCTTCCCTGTCTCTTTTTACTCCCGCTCTATCTATCTTTCCGTCTCTATTACCCCCCTCCCCCTCCCCTATCTCTCCTAGACATGGCATGCCTCCACACAGGGAACTCGGCACTGCCTAAATATTTACACCATCCTTCAACCCGGGCGTCAGGGTGGCCAACACAACGCCATCAAACCCGGGAGTGTATCTTACAAGCTTGCGTCTATGCATCTGTAATAACAAGTGACAATCGATTCAAGCTTCTTCCGTCCACCTGTGATCATTCGTGCCGTCTGTCCGTCTGTCTATCTACAAGAAACAACTTGAAATGAAGAATTATAACCGCGTATTCCATCCATTGCCGTGTCTGCTTTGTCTGCCTCTCTGTCGACGAACTACCAACGCAGTCTGCCTGTGGGTCTGTCTTTTTCTGCTTTGCTGCCGGTTATATTATGAGAAGGACGGCAGTGGAGAGAAAGAGATAGATTTCCTGGGACAGTAAACAACGTGAGATGATAAATGGAAGAACTCAACCAGACGGGCGGATGAAGTTTTGGAATTTAATTTGTTATGATCAACGAAGCCCCCAGCCAACATTTCAAACAAACACGTAAAATATATCTTACAAAATCACCTGCTGGATATGAGTGTAATACGAAAACGTTATTAACTTAAATGGGGATATAATGGTGTTTTAAAAAGAGGGCGTTGTCACCGTAGGGGAGTTTTAAAATAGGGGAATTAACAAGACCTTTAAATCGTCTGTGTGCGCAACAAGTGGAACGCCTCTGCCGGGTGTACGATTCGATACACATCAGTTGGTCTCCCGGCAACGTCATGGACAGGAAGCACGCCGTCATGGTATTTACTTCTTTTTTTCCTCGTATTTCCGGCATTCTCTGTAACTGTTCCTGATATAATACTGGGATATTGATTAGTAGTGCATGAGACGTTGTAAGTATGATGTGGCTGTGGAACTGTGAAGACGGTGAGGAAGATTGCAAATGGAGCCGAGGTTCCAATTGGGTGGAGAGACGTCGGCTGAGGCTAAAGGTATAAATATTATGGTAACGGAGCAGACGGTTGAGAATTCCTGGAATGGTAATGCTACCGGCAACATGTAATCACCTGGCGGGGAAAATTTGAGGGCACAGACACCCTCGCTTACCGTAGCTACAATTGGGTGCTCCATATTTAGAGATAATAGCCGTGTGTTGTAATAGAAACGCCTCTCAACCATAGGACTAACTTACGTCCCCCGACCACCATTATCAGGGATTTTCAGGGGATTTAAAAGGACTTCTCTACGTGGGAAGGGGCGTCGTGGTGCATTGGTCTTGGTGATGGTGTGCCATTAAGAGGGTTCAGGTCAGTGCCTCCCTTCCCCCCCTGCACTCTCTCCACCACCTCCCCCACAGACAAGGTCAACACAGACTGGGGTGATGGGGTCTGCCTAATGGACTGTGCAGGAGATATCCAAATTACCCTTTTATTTGCTTAATCGTATTTTTAGTGCCCATATATATGTCCGTTTACGAGTCGTTGGCCGCGAAGATCAGTATAAATATTTCACGACCGTTCTGATCAGTATACAGTATATTGTAATCTATTCTTCATTCAACTAAATATCACAAGAAAATAGGTGATGAATACCAACTTGACTACTCGTGTGAGTTTCTCTTAATGGAGAGATGTCTGGACATTTAAATAGATAATTACAAACCCTTGAGCTGGCAAGATCATGTCTACGTGGCTGTTACCAAGTTTTGTTTTTTCTTCAAACTCTTATGTCTGTAAGGTAGTATAGAAACTCTGTATATTTGATATATAAAAATTAAGTTTTTTCTCGATATTATAAAACTAATTATATTGTTATAGTATGGATGGTAAATAAGAATTAAATATTAAGAAAAATGTAATATGGCAACTTATAAATGCTAACACAGACTGGTTCGTAAATATTAGGGTTTAATTATTGGTTCTTTGTTATGTAATGATGGGAAGACCTCAGCTAGAACCTGTTTCTGTTGGCAGCTATCCCTCGGTGGCTTACTGGTAGCTCTTTGTTGGCTGGTGAAAGCCATACGGTATTTTCTATATATTTAAACAGCAATTGTATGAGACGATGTAGTGTTTTCGGTATTCAGTCAGCCTACTTTAAATGCTTGAGTGGTAGATGGTGTAAAATCAACCATATATGTAATAAATGTATTTAATTAACCACATACCTCAATTACTATTAAGTTGACCATTTATATCAAGTTGGTAGTATGATTTAGTGCATATATTTAGATTACTTTGCAAGGTTGATTCACTCTTTGGTTGCTACATGGGTAATCGTCTGTGGTTGGTCTTTTAGGTGAGCTGAGCTGCCTGTGTGATTCAAGGGACAGAGTTAACGAATTTTGCTGATGGTGTAGGTGCTAAGGTGTGGTGGTATAGATAGGTGTTAAGGTGTGGTGGTATAGATAGGTGCTAAGGTGTAGTGGGTGATGGTGTGTAAAGCGGTTGTCACGGACCACCAGAGAGCCTGACTGACCGTGTCTTGCCATACCTCTCAGCTTGTCAGGAGGAAGGTGAGAGGAGGGGAAGAAAAGAGAGGGTGGAAGACGAAGGTACAGGAGAGGGAATTGGAGAAGAAGAAGATAGAAGAGGAAGAGAGGGGATAGGGAAGGAGGAAAGTAAAGGGAATAGGGGGAAAGAGAGAGGAGGATGAAAAAGGGGTGCCACGAGGAAAAGGGAGGTTGCCAAATGATGGTGCTTGAAGGGGTGTTAATAAGGAACCGGGAAAGGTGTAAGGTGCCCGGTAGGTGAGGGGGAAAGGGGTGCCAAGAGAAAGGGGGGGGGGGGTCTGCTAGCTCGTTCACCTGCCACCCGAAGCAAACTTATGGCGCTAATGCTGGTGTATGAATATTTAATGAGGTAATTAGCATAGGTTCGGAATAGGTGTGAGGTGCGCCCCTCCTGACTTAATGGTGAGGGGCGGATATAGGGAGGGGAGGGGGGAGAAAGAAAGGTGTGTGTTATTTTGGTTGGAGTTAAAGGTAGGTATGTGGTGGTGGTGGCGGCTGTGGTGGTAGTTGTGGTAGTAGTTGTGGTGATGTAGGGGGTTGTGGTAGTAGTTGTGGTGATGTAGGGAGGTTGTGGTAGTAGTTGTGGTGATGTAGGGAGGTTGTGGTGGTGGTTGTGGTGATGGGGAGGTTGGTAGTGGTTGTGGTGATGTAGGAGGTTGTGGTGGTGGTTGTTGTGTGAGGAGGTTGTGGTGGTAGTTGTGGTGATGTGGGGTTGTGGTAGTGGTTGTGGTGATGTGGGGTTGTGGTAGTAGTTGTGGTGATGTAGGGAGGTTGTGGTAGTAGTTGTGGTGATGTAGGGAGGTTGTGGTAGTAGTTGTGGTGATGTAGGGGGTTGTGGTAGTAGTTGTGGTGATGTAGGGAGGTTGTGGTAGTAGTTGTGGTGATGTAGGGAGGTTGTGGTAGTAGTTGTGATGTTAGAGGTTGTGGTGGTAGTTGTGGTGATGTGGGGTTGTGGTAGTAGGGGTTGCTTGGTAGTAGTTGTGGTGATGTGGGAGGTTGTGGTAGTGGTGTGGGGAGGTTTGTGGTAGTGGTTGGTGATGTGGGGTTGTAGTGGTGCTGGTGATGTAGGGGAGGTTGTGGTAGTAATTTATTGTTGATGTAGGCGGAGGAAGATATTTTGAGGGGTGTGTGTGGGTTGCGTGCATGACACAAGACCCCAACCTGGCCCACATTCACCCACCCACCCACCCACCCATTACCACACCCACCCACCCACCAGGATATTATTAGAAGATATGGCAGTACCAGGGCATAAACTTCCGTAATGGTGTGTTGAGGTGATATTTATCCAAAAGACGTCCATTAAAATATTGAAGTTTTTTTAAGTCCATTTTAATTATATAAATTTCCTCTTAAAAATATCTATATTAAGTAATTTTATTAAGGTATGATATAAGAACTAGTTAATATTCGTTTAAGGTATAAGTTCAGTATTTATAAATAATTAAATATATTGTATTCTGATTTTCTTTTATTCATTCATTAGATTAGAATTACTGTACTGTATATAAGGAAAATATTACCAGAAAGTGAGGTTTATTTGTGGATTATGTATTAGTGTTTTAATTTAAAGGTTTATTCAGTTTGGATTTTGGTTTAAGATTTAATTTAGTGTTTATTTAAGTTCTGTGATCATCTGGTGGTAGTGTAAGCTCTGTACTGTACGTGTAATACAGTATATTTGTAAAGATTCAATTATGACCTGATTTAACCTGATGTATCCTTTGCATACCTGAACCTATATGACCAATCACCCTGATCTAACATAGTACATTACCTTGACCCAGTATTGTTTGTAAAGGTCATTAATTCTCCTTTTTAAGACATAACCTGACCTAACCTGACCTGACTTGTGCTGATTTACCGATGGGGGTTTCAGTCGAGCCATCATGATGTACCTGATGAACAAACATGGTGCGGAGGAGAACCAGTACCTGTACCCAAAGGAGGCTGAAGAGAGAGCCAAGGTGGACCGTATGATGTTCTTCGACATGGGCACCCTCTACCACGCCATCAAGGAGTACTTCGTGAGTGGCTCGTTCTTTTCCTATACTGTACTATGCCTCCTGTCGTTTTTACATTAGTTTTATTATTATCTTTGTGATCTCTTCTTCTTTTTTATATCTCCTCCTCCTCCTCCTTCTTCCTCACTATTTGTCTTCTTTACACTTCCCTCTCCACCTCTTTACTCCTCTTCACTTCTTCTGCTCCTCACTCCTCCTCCTCCTCCTCCAACATTAACATCTTTAGTTTATGAAGGAGTTAGAGTGTAAATTAGACCTTAACATATACAGTAGTTGTATCCACAGCATAATATGTATTACTATGAACAATGTGGCCAGTTGGTCTTCTCTGCATACAGTACTAAAGAATATTTGTGCTTATTTCTTACAATATAATTTTCACTTTAGATAGACTTGTTTATGTTATATATATTAATTTTTTAGTGAAATTTGTGTTTAATTATATTTAGCCATTTATTCATGATACTGATCTGTGTCTCATTTACTTAAAAACAGCCATCTCTTGGTGAAGGCTGTGTATGTCTAGTTTCTATTAATATAACTAACCCTTAGTTAAAGCTGTATACATCAATACAGGGATGCCACTTTTAATATTTTATTTGGCTACCACTAGACGATTTTATTCAGCACAGAGGAGAGTCCATACATAAGGGGTTAACATTCCAATAATTTAACAGCTTCAGGATGACAGATAATTTATTCCCAGGTTCCATTTCCTTTTATTTTCACATAGACATATTTTTTAGGGCCCAAAGATCCACCAGGGACTTCCACCCGACCCAGACAAGGAAAACCTCCTCAAGACCAGCCTGGATTACTTGGATCACTTCCTGGAGATTGGTGGTGTTCCTTACCTGTGTGGGGAGAGGATCACCATCGCTGACATCGCTGTACTTGCCTCCGTCACTGAACTCGATGCCATGGACTACAACTACAAGTGCTATGGTGAACTCTTCAGGTGGAGTGAGAGGGTCAAGGTGAGTCAGAGGAGTGATGAAGAGTAATTTTTTTTTTGGTGTTAATGGGAGGGAATTTAGGGAGCCTCAGATATGGGATGTTATACTAATTATTTTAAGATTTTCAGGTTGATTAAAAATAAAAATCCCAACCAGATGAGGTATTGGGTGAATCACGAAGAATGGTTGATTTGGGGCTGAAAACTCAATTAAGCAATGAACATTTACTCATTACATGGCCTGTGATCACTAAAAGACCCGAGGTTCCTTACATGTATACCTTAAGGTTAATTGTCCTCTGTTATCATCTATCTGTAAATTTTAACTCTCTGTGCTCTTAATTTAAGCACATTTGCAGGGGCGGATCCAGGAATATCAAAGGGGGGTCGAAGAAGTTACTGGTGGGGGAATATGGTGATTGCACTGAGCCCATACAGCTGTGGGGTTTGGGGGGGGGGCACTGTACGTTCCCCTCAATTTTTTTTGGAGATCTGACCAATATCATGGGCATTTTGAGGCCATTTTGACGCTTTGTGTACTTGATACTAGGAGACATTCTGAAGTCAATAGTCCAGACTCCCAGGACACTCCCCCCTGGATTTGCCCCTCCTTTTATTCATACTGTACTGGACTGTATTCACTAAATAAAGTTCATGTGTAATTTTAAGAGTTTTGGCTCTTGTGTTAGATTAATACCCCAGAATTTTTAATCAACTGAAGGTCTTCTTAATTATTTCCTAGTTACCTGTGTAGTTATATTCTTCTTTTGCTCTTGTAATGATATTTCCCAGCCATAGAGTTTGGTGTTTGCACATTAACTTTTCCCTCTGGAATCTTGATTTTTCTTAAGGACTACTTTTTGGTGTTTAATCTCTAAAGTTTATTATTTTCTCTGTTCTCTTTCTTATGCCATGCTTTTATTCCCCCCCCCCTCTCCTAATCCTCCTCTGTTTCTTCTTCTTTTGTTTTTTCATATATAAGTGTCTTCCTCCATGTCTTTCTCCTGTTTTAGTTTCTTTGCAGTAAAGAAACTTTTGTCCGTCCACAGGAGAACTTCCCCCACTACAAGGAGTGTTGCCTGGAGGGCGTGGAGATGACCCGAGCCCGAGTCAAGCAACTGGAGGCTGACCTGAAGAAACAGATGGAGAAAGAACGTAAAGCTTCCATCACCAAGAAGTAAAGCGATTGACAGTGTTGGAGGGTAATGGTGATGTCTTTACTCCTCCTCCCTGTTAGGAAATATAAAGTGGATTTTATCATAGATACTATTTATTATTAATTAAATAGATGATAAACTCGAGATAACAGGCAGATGTAGTTAGTTATACGACCACCAGATTCTGTCAGAGTGAATATATATATATTAATTTTCTTTCCCCTCCAATTATCAGATGGATTTTATCATAGACTATTTATTAATTATATGAAATAGTTGGTAACTCAAGATAATAATTAGACAGCTGTATGTAGTTAGAAATTACCACCAGAAATAGTTATAGTTGATCACTCCTGCCAGACTGCTGTTAGATGGGGTGTCCATGACTGCCATCTGTTAATCCATAGGTTATAGCACAAGGTTTACCAGCAGTAGAGAGACATAGATCTTAGCTCAAACCCTTCAACAGAGAGAAAAGATATATTTTTTATTAAAGAGAATGACTGCTCGGTTCTCACTTGAGGAAGGTGTTGCACTTGTTTGTGTTAACTATGTGGTTGGTTAGTGAATTAAAACAGGTGTTGAAATTAGTGTTTTGGATTGACAAGTTAAATAGTTATTGATTTTTTTTACTTTGACTCGTTAGTTCCATGGTTACTGAAGTCTGTTTAGTAGAGGATTTTGTCATAACTAATAAATACATATAATCCACAGTAGTTAATTACATTGTGTACTGACGTTATAGAGGGTTTTCCAAGTGATGAATGCAGTCAGTTCTTAGTAGCCCAAAACATTGTGTGGTTGCTTAGAAGTAATGTTTGATGTATCGTTAATATAACTACATCAGTGAGCAATATACTTAACTGAATTTTGACCGTTTGTTATTTATACTATGTTGTGTAAGTTATGGACTGTGTTCTTATTTAGGTACAGTACTTCAATGGATTCAGTTACAATATGCCCCAGTGATGTATGTTAAGTCTCTGGAAATTTTCACTTCTTCAAAAAGATGTTTTGTTGTGTTTGAACTTTTATTCTTATTATTTTGTTGTTCTGGACAGACTGCACTAGTAGGTGGTAATTTTTGTCCTTGGTATTTTATTGCTTATTGTGTGGTTCTAAGTTGGAAGAAGGTTTTATAAAGGTTTAGGTATACGGTCATGATGTGTAGTAAAGGTTTCCATAAAAAGACAACTAAATTGGAAACGTATCCAATTTACTTTTTCTTAAGTTCATATCTTGGTTCTTGGTTGGACACAGTTTTGATCTCGCATTAAGATACTAAACCTACTGTAATAGGGTTCATGTAAAATCTTGCTGGCAGTATTGCAGGAGTATCAAAACTGAATGCTCTCTACAACAAGGCCAATGGAAAAGTATTATGTGCATTAGATACATAACTGTATTTATCTGATGTCCAACTTTGACAAGTCTAGGAGAGACTTCTTACCCTGACAGCCACACAAGAATGGAACTCCCAGAAATGTGACGACAACAGAATCAATCGCTTCTGTCATAATAGTTTTAAGAATTGAACAATCTAAAAGCAGGAACAATATACTGTATCTTGATGTATAGCATCGTACCATCTTGTTTGCTGATTGGTTGTCAAGGAAGGAAGTCTTATCCAAGTCTGTTTTCATAATGGAAGATTTCATTAGAGGTTGTATATGAGTGTGGCTTACCCTATTTGCCATTGCCATAGGCTAGGCTGTCTCTCCTAATGATGCTGTCATTCATGTACTGGTGACTTGTTGTGTTATAACGACAGTCACCCATATATGAGTGTAGTAGTGACTCGTCATATCTTAATGACAGTCGCTCACATATGCTTGTACTGGCAAATTGTCACGTCTTACTTAATGGCGCAATAACTTAATTAGGCCTGCACTGGTGACTCTGTCATCGTACTCAGTGATGCAGTCACCCACATACACCTGTACTGGTGATTCATGTCTCATTTAATGGTGGTCACCCATATAAGCCTGTAGTGGTGACTCATCATTCTGTCTCAGTATTAATGTTGCTTCTGTTCACGTCATCATCAGCGCCACATACTTGTGTCTTTCAGTGGTCCTTGTAGGGAAGGAGAAGATGTTCTGTGTTAAAGTGTACGCAATATGTACAGTACTTACGTCTCTGAATCTGAATCCACTACATTAGTATCCATTTATCTGATACGTTAATGGTATCATTGTTTTATTACCGGACTCCAACAGAATCCAGAATAATTTTATCAGAAAAATTACTGAAAAATTATCTTCAGTGTTTTGTGACTTGGATTTTGGAATGATTACTTGAGGAATGTTTATTGTTTGTTTTGTATCATTACGTTATCACTTGTTTCAGATAGCAACACAAAAGACCCTAAACCATAACAGATTATGTAGAGCTTTGCAAACGTTTCTGGATTGCTTAAACAGTTCAAAATCTTCCTGAAAAGAGCGACTCATATTATTGACAGAACCACTTTAAAATATCTCTCTTTAAAAACATTTCTAAAACTTGCAAATTCTTGAGATTGAGAGAACATTTTTCCTCTCCTGCAAGATGCTGTAAGACTTTATATATTCACAGCGATGATTTCTCGACAATATTTATCCGAGAATTTGGCAAGTTCTCACACGTCTTAGGACAAATATAACGCAAAAGAATTCTCATCTGTGTAGCAAGTTTGCAGATGGAAGCAATTTGTCCGCTCTATGTAATTTGGTGGTTTTCAAAAGCGCTTGATTTTATATAAGTAACTTGGCTCTCTGGCACAGGGTCACTCTTCACTACTCTCAAGTCGACCTTTGTGTTTATATGTGACCTAAATCTCATGAAAAACTGAGATCTCTTATACAGTAAACTTACATAGTGCTTCAGATGCTAATTCTAAGTAGTCATATATATTAGATAAAGGTTTTCATTCCTGTGTCAAGTATAGGTATATTTAAGTGAAAAAAAATTCTGTAAATGTCCGCTTAACACCAAACAGTGCAGGAATGGCGAGTATATATGATTACAGTACTGTGCCTTAAACCAATTATGATTACCTATGGGTGGTAATTTTTGTTTCCTCTCATAATAAAGATACTGTAATTGGAACTAAACTCTTTGTGACATAATATTCATAGATTAATTATGTTGATTTGAGCGATATACTGTATTGAGTGGGGCCTGTGTCTGGACTGATCATTGTAGTTCTGTTGGTGACATTTTGAAGCTTTCTGTCAACAGTGTGAAATAAAAGTGTTATTCCATAGTTCACCTTCTTGTTATTAATCCTTTAAACACCAAAAATTAGCTCCATATCAAGGGGTAGATCCAGGAATATGGGGGGCACTGTAAATCCCCCGGAAAATATTTTGAAATCTGGCCAATATCATGGGCATTTTGAGACCATGTGCACTTGTAATTCAGTCAGTAACTCTGTAGACCACCTGCCAGGACCACTCTCCACAGTGTCCTCCATGCAGGCCACCACCGAGAGATGTAACCCCACAAAGGTTTCAAGAGCATCTAGGGGTTGCACCCAACTTGTATGGCACAGATTTTTCAGCTTGTACTTCCTTGATTCACGTTAGGTCTTCAAGGGCCCTCAAAGGGCAGCAGTGCCCCTTGGGGCCCTGCCAGGGGTAAAGGAGTCCCTCCAAGGGCGGCAGAGACCCCAGGGGCCCTCTCAGGGGTACAGGAGTCCCTCCAAGGGTGGCGGAGACCCGAGGGGCCCTCTCAGGAGCAGTGGCGCCCTGGACCTTTCCAGGTGGGGGTGGCGCCCTGGACATTTCCAGAGGCGGTGGAGCTGCCGGAGGCCCTTGAAGGGTCGGCGGTGCCTCCAGGGGCCCTTTCAGGGGTGGCAGAACTCCCAGGGGCCCTCCCAGGGGTGGGGGCACTCCCAGGGGTCCTTCCATGAGCCCTATAGCATGCTTAGTCGCAGTCCAACAATCTCTTACTTAACTGTGATTGGTGGACTAAAATGTAAATCTACCAGCCAATAGGACAACAGATCAGTCGTTCAGCACAACACCCCAACTTATGTTTTCCTGTTGGATATTTACTTTCCTTTACATAGTTCCTCATGCGATGATGCTGGAAATGTGATGGGCGGTGTATTTATTTAACGTCTTATCTCCCACTGTTCTAAATAGTGCAAAAACAACTACCTCTAGGGGGCCTACAGGAACAATGCTCCCTGAGGCCTTCCCATTTCTCTTATAAGGTGCGGCGCCCCCGAGTACTCTCCCAGGAGTCGGTGCGCCCAGGGGACCTCCCAGGGGCCGTGGCGCCCCAAACCGCATTTCCAGTGGACTCCGCGACTCCAGGGGCCCTCCTAGGGGCAGTGGCGATCTCTAGCGCCCTCCCAGGGGTCTTTGCAGGGACAGTAGCAACCCCAAGAGCTATCCCAAGGATGTCGGTGCCCCCATGGGCCCTTCCAAGGGGAAAGGCGCTCCCAGGGGCCCGCCAAAGGAAAGCAGCGACCCAAGGGGCCCGTCCATTGTCGGCAGCGAACCCAGAGTCATTCCCAGTGGCGTCAGAACCTCCAGAGGCTTTTCCAGGGGTAGTGGCGCCCCTAGGTGCTCTCCCAGGGGTGTCAGCGCCCCCTGGGGCCATCCCAGGGACGGCAGGGACCCCAGGGGCCCTACCAAAGACGTCCTGTCCCAATAGACATATAGCTTACCCTATCATGGTGTTGTACATATTGAGTTCGTCCAGCAAGCTCTTACTTAACTGTGATTGGTGGACTAAAAGAAAAATCTACCAAATAACAGCCAATAGGAGAACAGATCAGTCGTTCAGCACAACACCCCAACTTATGTTTTCCTGTTGGATATTTATTCTCCTTTACATAGTTCCTCATGCGATGATACTGGAAATGTGATGGGCGATGTATTTATTTAACGTCTTATCTCCCACTGTTCTAAATAGTGCAAAAACAACTGCCCCTAGGGGGGCTACAGGAACAGTGCTCGCTGGGGTCCTCCCATTTCTCTAATAAGGTGATACGCTCCCGAGTGCTCTCCCAGGGGTCGGTGTACCCAGGGGACCTCCTAGGGGCGGTGGCGCCCCAAACCTCATTTCCAGTGGTGTCATCGACTCCAGGGATTCTCCAGCGGCAGCGGCGATGTCTAGCGCCCTCCCTGGGGCCCTCGCAGGGGCAGTAGCACCAAAAGGGCTATTCCAAGGGTGTCGGCGTCCCCAAGGGCCCTTCCAAACGCAAAGACGCTCCCAGGGGCCCACCAAGGGAAAGCAGCGACCCAAGGGGCCCTTTCATTGTCAGCAGCGAATCCAGAGTCATTCCTAGTGGCGTCAGAACATCGAGAGGCTTTCCCAGGGGTAGTGGCGCCCCTAGGGGCTCTCCCAGGGGTGTCGACGCCCCCTGGGGCCATCCCAAAGACTGCAGGGACCCCAGGGGCCCTACCAAAGGCGTCCTGTCTCAATAAACCTATAGCTTACCCTATCATGGTGTCATAAATATTGAATTCGTCCAGCAAGCTCTTACTTAACTGTGATTGGTGGACTAAAATAAAAATCTACCAAATAACAGCCAATAGGAGAACAGATCAGTCGTTCAGCACAACACCCCAACTTATGTTTTCCTGTTGGATATTTCCTCTCCTTTACATAGTTCCTCATGCGATGATACTGGAAATGTGATGGGCGGTGTATTTATTTAACGTCTTATCTCCCACTGTTCTAAATAGTGCAAAAACATCTGCCCCTAGGGGGCTACAGGAGCAGTGCTCCCTGGGTCCCACCCATTTCTCTAATAAGGTGATACGCTCCCGAGTGCTCTCCCAGGGCTCGGTGCACCCAGGGGACCTCCTAGGGGTGGTGGCGCCCCAAACCTCATTTCCAGTGGTGTCAGCGACTCCAGGGATTCTCCAGCGGCAGCGGCGATGTCTGGCGCCCTCCCTGGGGCCCTCGCAGAGGCAGTAGCACCAAAAGGGGTATCCCAAGGGTGTCGGCGTCCCCAAGGGCCCTTCCAAGGGCAAAGACGCTCCCATGGGCCCGCCAAGGAAAAGCAGCGACCCAAGGGGCCCTTCCATTGTAAGCAGCGAATCCAGAGTCATTCCCAGTGGCGTCAGAACATCGAGAGGCTTTCCCAGGGGTAGTGGCGTCCCTAGGGGCTCTCCCAGGGGTGTCGTCGCCCCCTGGGGCAATCCCAGAGACTGCAGGGATCCCAGGGGCCCTACCAAAGGCGTCCTATCTCAATAAACCTTTAGCTTACCCTATCATGGTGTCGTAAATATTGAATTCGTCCAGCAAGCTCCTACTTAACTGTGATTGGTGGACTAAAATAAAAATCTACCAAATAACAGCCAATAGGAGAACAGATCAGTCGTTCAGCACAACACCCCAACTTATGTTTTCCTGTTGGATATTTCCTCTCCTTTACATAGTTCCTCATGCGATGATACTGGAAATGTGATGGGCGGTGTATTTATTTAACGTCTTATCTCCCACTGTTCTAAATAGTGGAAAAACATCTGCCCCTAGGGGGCTACAGGAGCAGTGCTCCCTGGGTCCCACCCATTTCTCTAATAAGACGCTGCGCTCCCGAGTGCTCTCCCAGGGGTCGGTGTGCCCAGGGGACCTCCCAGGGGCGGTGGCGCCCCAAACCTCATTTCCAGTGGCGTCGGCGACTCCAGGCATTCTCCAGCGGCAGCGGCGATGTCTGGCGCCCTCCCTGGGGCCCTCGCAGGGGCAGTAGCACCTAAAGGGCTATCCCAAGGGTGTCGGCGCCCCCAAGGGCCCTTCCAAGGGCAAATACGCTCCCAGGGGCCCACCAAGGGAAAGCAGCGACCCAAGGGGCCCTTCCATTTTCAGCAGCGAATCCAGAGTCATTCCCAGTTGCGTCAGAACATCGAGAGGCTTTCCCAGGGGTATTGGCGCCTCTAGGGGCTCTCCCAGGGGTGTCGGCGCCCCCTGGGGCCATCCCAGAGACGGCAAGGACCCCAGGGGCCCTACCAAAGGCGTCCTGTCTCAATAAACCTATAGCTTACCCTATCATGGTGTCGTAAATATTGAATTTGCCCAGCAAGCTCTTACTTAACTGTGATTGGTGGACTAAAATAAAAATCTACCAAATAACAGCCAATAGGAGAACAGATCAGTCGTTCAGCACAACACCCCAACTTATGTTTTCCTGTTGGATATTTCCTCTCCTTTACATAGTTCCTCATGCGATGATACTGGAAATGTGATGGGCGGTGTATTTATTTAACGTCTTATCTCCCACTGTTCTAAATAGTGCAAAATCATCTGCCCCTAGGGGGCTACAGGAGCAGTGCTCCCTGGGTCACACCCATTTCTCTAATAAGACGCTGCGCTCCCGAATGCTCTCCCAGGGGTCGGTGAGCCCAGGGGACCTCCCAGGGGCGGTGGCGCCCCAAACCTCATTTCCAGTGGCGTCGGCGACTCCAGGCATTCTCCAGCGGCAGCGGCGATGTCTGGCGCCCTCCCTGGGGCCCTCGCAGGGGCAGTAGCACCTAAAGGGCTATCCCAAGGGTGTCGGCGCCCCCAAGGGCCCTTCCAAGGGCAAAGACGCTCCCAGGGGCCCGCCAAGGGAAAGCAGCGACCCAAGGGGCCCTTCCATTTTCAGCAGCGAATCCAGAGTCATTCCCAGTTGCGTCAGAACATCGAGAGGCTTTCCCATGGGTATTGGCGCCTCTAGGGGCTCTCCCAGGGGTGTCGGCGCCCCCTGGGGCCATCCCAGAGACGGCAGGGACCCCAGGGGCCCTACCAAAGGCGTCCTGTCTCAATAAACCTATAGCTTACCCTATCATGGTGTCGTAAATATTGAATTCGTCCAGCAAGCTCTTACTTAACTGTGATTGGTGGACTAAAATAAAAATCTACCAAATAACAGCCAATAGGAGAACAGATCAGTCGTTCAGCACAACACCCCAACTTATGTTTTCCTGTTGGATATTTCCTCTCCTTTACATAGTTCCTCATGCGATGATACTGGAAATGTGATGGGCGGTGTATTTATTTAACGTCTTATCTCCCACTGTTCTAAATAGTGCAAAAACATCTGCCCCTAGGGGGCTACAGGAGCAGTGCTCCCTGGGTCCCACCCATTTCTCTAATAAGACGCTGTGCTCCCTGAGTGTTTCTCCCAGGGGTCGGTGTGCCCAGGGACCTCCCCAGGGCGGTGGCGCCTCAAACCCCATTTCCCAGTGGCGTCGGCACCCATGATTTCAGCGTGCTGCGGATGTTCGGCGCCCTCCCTGGGACCACCGGTGAGGGGCAGTAGCACCAAAGGGCTATCCCATGGTGTCGAGTGTCCCTAAGGGCCCTTTCCATGGGTGGAAGACCACTCCCAGGGGCCCGCTAAGGAAAGCACAATTCAAGGCCCCTTCCATTTTCGTGCAGCGAATCCAGAGTCATTCCTAGTTGCGTCAGAACATCGAGAGGCTTTTCCTAGGTGTGTTGGAGAAGCCCTAGGGGCTTCCTCCCCAGGTGCGTGGCCCCTGGGGCTATCCCAGAGACGCAGGACCCCAGGCTCCCTAACAGCTATGTCCTGTCTCAATAAACCTATAGCTTACCCTATCATGGTGTCGTAAATATTGAATTGTCCAGCAGTTTACTTAACTGTGATTGTGACTAAAATAAAAATCACCACATAACAGCCAATAGAGAACAGACGTCGTTCACACAACACCTAACTTATGTTTTCCTGTTGGATATTTCTCCTTACATAGTTCCTCATGCAATGATACTGGAAATGTGATGGGCGGTGTATTTATTTAACGTCTTATCTCCCACTGTTCTAAATAGTGGAAAAACATCTGCCCCTAGGGGGCTACAGGAGAGGTGCTCGCTGGGTCCCACCCATTTCTCTAATAAGACGCTGCGCTCCCGAGTGCTCTCCCAGGGGTCGGTGTGCCCAGGGGACCTCCCAGAGGCGGTGGCGCCCCAAACCTCATTTCCAGTGGCGTCGGCGACTCCAGGGATTCTCCAGCGGCAGCGGCGATGTCTGGCGCCCTCCCTGGGGCCCTCGCAGGGGCAGTAGCACCAAAAGAGCTCTCCCAAGGGTGTCGGCGCCCCCAAGGGCCCTTCCAAGGGTAAAGACGCTCCCAGGGGCCCGCCAAGGGAAAGCAGCGACCCAAGGGGCCCTTCCATTTTCAGCAGCGAATCCAGAGTCATTCCCAGTTGCGTCAGAACATCGAGAGGCTTTCCCATGGGTATTGGCGCCTCTAGGGGCTCTCCCAGGGGTGTCGGCGCCCCCTGGGGCCATCCCAGAGACGGCAGGGACCCCAGGGGCCCTACCAAAGGCGTCCTGTCTCAATAAACCTATAGCTTACCCTATCATGGTGTCGTAAATATTGAATTCGTCCAGCAAGCTCTTACTTAACTGTGATTGGTGGACTAAAATAAAAATCTACCAAATAACAGCCAATAGGAGAACAGATCAGTCGTTCAGCACAACACCCCAATTTATGTTTTCCTGTTGGATATTTCCTCTCCTTTACATAGTTCCTCATGCGATGATACTGGAAATGTGATGGGCGGTGTATTTATTTAACGTCTTATCTCCCACTGTTCTAAATAGTGGAAAAACATCTGCCCCTAGGGGGCTACAGGAGCAGTGCTCCCTGGGTCCCACCCATTTCTCTAATAAGACGCTGCGCTCCCGAGTGCTCTCCCAGGGGTCGGTGAGCCCAGGGGACCTCCTAGGGAAGGAGGCTCCCCAAACCTCATTTCCAGTGGCGTCGGCGACTCCAGGCATTCTCCAGCGGCAGCGGCGATGTCTGGCGCCCTCCCTGGGGCCCTCGCAGGGGCAGTAGCACCTAAAGGGCTATCCCAAGGGTGTCGGCGCCCCCAAGGGCCCTTCCAAGGGCAAAGACGCTCCCAGGGGCCCGCCAAGGGAAAGCAGCGACCCAAGGGGCCCTTCCATTGTCAGCAGCGAATCCAGAGTCATTCCCAGTGGCGTCAGAACATCGAGAGGCTTTCCTAGGGGTAGTGGCGCCCCTAGGGGCTCTCCCAGGGGTGTCGGCGCCCCATGGGGCCATCCCAGAGACTGCAGGGACCCCAGGGGCCCTACCAAAGGCGTCCTGTCCCAATAAACCTATAGCTTACCCTATCATGGTGTCGTAAATATTGAATTCGCTAAGCAAGCTCTTACTTAACTGTGATTGGTGGACTAAAATAAAAATCTACCAAATAACAGCCAATAGGAGAACAGATCAGTCGTTCAGCACAACACCCCAACTTATGTTTTCCTGTTGGATATTTCCTCTCCTTTACATAGTTCCTCATGCGATGATACTGGAAATGTGATGGGCGGTGTATTTATTTAACGTCTTATCTCCCACTGTTCTAAATAGTGGAAAAACATCTGCCCCTAGGGGGCTACAGGAGAGGTGCTCGCTGGGTCCCACCCATTTCTCTAATAAGACGCTGCGCTCCCGAGTGCTCTCCCAGGGGTCGGTGTGCCCAGGGGACCTCCCAGAGGCGGTGGCGCCCCAAACCTCATTTCCAGTGGCGTCGGCGACTCCAGGGATTCTCCAGCGGCAGCGGCGATGTCTGGCGCCCTCCCTGGGGCCCTCGCAGGGGCAGTAGCACCAAAAGAGCTCTCCCAAGGGTGTCGGCGCCCCCAAGGGCCCTTCCAAGGGTAAAGACGCTCCCAGGGGCCCGCCAAGGGAAAGCAGCGACCCAAGGGGCCCTTCCATTTTCAGCAGCGAATCCAGAGTCATTCCCAGTTGCGTCAGAACATGGAGAGTCTTTCCCAGGGGTAGTGGCGCCCCTAGGGGCTCTCCCAGGGGTGTCGGCGCCCCCTGGGGCCATCCCAGAGACTGCAGGGACCCCAGGGGCCCTACCAAAGGCGTCCTGTCCCAATAAACCTATAGCTTACCCTATCATGGTGTCGTAAATATTGAATTCGCCCAGCAAGCTCTTACTTAACTGTGATTGGTGGACTAAAATAAAAATCTACCAAATAACAGCCAATAGGAGAACAGATCAGTCGTTCAGCACAACACCCCAACTTATGTTTTCCTGTTGGATGTTATTCTCCTTTACATAGTTCTCATGCGATGATACTGGAAATATGATGGGCGGTGTATTTTACATTTAACGTCTTATCTCCACTGTTCTAAATAGTGCAGAACAACTGCCCTATAGGGGCTACAGGAACAGTGCTCCTGGAAGCCCTCCCATTTCTCTTATAAGGTGCGGCGCTCCCAAGTGCTCTCCCAGGGGTCGGTGCGCCCTGGGGACCTCACAGGGGCGGTGGCGCCGCAAACCTCATTTCCAGTGAGGACGGCAACTCCAGGGACCCTCCTAGGGGCAGCAGCGATATCTGGCGCCCTCTAAGGGGCCCTCGCAGGGACAGTAGCACCCCAAGGGCTATCCCAAGGGTGTCGGCGACCCCAGGGGCTTTTCAAAGGGCAAAGACGCTCCCAGGGGCCCGCCAAGGGAAAGCAGCGACCCAAGGGGCCCTTCCATAGTCGCCGACGAACCCAGAGTCATTCCCAGTGGCGTCAGAACCTCCAGAGGCTTTTCCAGGTGCAGTGGCGCCCCAAGGGGCTCTTCCAGAGACAGCAGGGACCCCAGGGGCCTTACCAAAGGCGTCCTGTCCCAATAAACCTATAGCTTTCCCTATCATGGTGTCGAAAATATTGAATTCGTCCAGCAAGCTCTTACTTAACTGTGATTGGTGAACTAAAATAAAAATCTACCAAATAACAGCCAATAGGAGAACAGACCAGTCGTTCAGCACAACACCCCAACTTATGTTTTCCTGTTGGATATTTATTCTGCTTTACATAGTTCCTCATGCGATGATACTGGAAATGTGATGGGCGGTGTATTTATTTAACGTCTTATCTCCCACTGTCCTAAATTGTGCAATAACAACTGCCCCTAGGGGGGCTACAGGAACAGTGCTCCCTGGGGCCCTCCCATTTCTCTTATAAGGTGCGGCCCTCCCGAGTGCTCTCCCAGGGGTCGGTGCGCCCTGGGAGACTCCCAGGGGCGGTGGCGCCCCAAACTGCATTTCCAGTGGCGTCGGCGACTCCTGGGACCCTCCTAGGGGCAGCAGCGATCTCTGGGAATGACTCTGGGTTCGCTGCCGACAATGGAAGGGCCCCTTGGGTCGCTGCTATCCCTTGGCGGGCCCCTGGGAGCGTCTTTGCCCTTGGAAGGGCCCTTGAGGGCGCCGACACCCTTGGGAGAGCTCTTTTGGTGCTACTGCCCCTGCGAGGGCCCCAGGGAGGGCGCCAGACATCGCCGCTGCCGCTGGAGAATCCCTGGAGTCGCCGACGCCACTGGAAATGAGGTTTGGGGCGCCACCGCCCCTGGGAGGTCCCTGGGCACACCGACCCCTGGGAGAGCACTCGGGAGCGCAGCGTCTTATTAGAGAAATGGGTGGGACCAGGGAGCACTGCTCCTGTAGCCCCCTAGGGGCAGATGTTTTTCCACTATTTAGAACAGTGGGAGATAAGACGTTAAATAAATACACCGCCCATCACATTTCCAGTATCATCGCATGAGGAACTATGTAAAGGAGAGGAAATATCCAACAGGAAAACATAAGTTGGGGTGTTGTGCTGAACGACTGATCTGTTCTCCTATTGGCTGTTATTTGGTAGATTTTTATTTTAGTCCACCAATCACAGTTAAGTAAGAGCTTGCTGGACGAATTCAATATTTACGACACCATGATAGGGTAAGCTATAGGTTTATTGGGACAGGACGCCTTTGGTAGGGCCCCTGGCGTCCCTGCCAAATCTGGGATGGCCCCAGGGGGCGCCGACACCCCTGGGAGAGCCCCTAGGGGCGCCACTACCCCTGGGAAAGCCTCTCGATATTCTAACGCCACTGAGAATGACTCTGGATTCGCTGCTGTAAATGGAAGGGCCCCTTGGGTCGCTGCTTTCCCTTGGCGGGCCCCTGGGAGCGTCTTTACCCTTGGAAGGGCCCTTGGGGGCGCCGACACCCTTGGGATAGCCCTTTTGGTGCTACTGCCCCTGCGAGGGCCCCAGGGAGGGCGCCAGACATCGCCGCTGCCGCTGGAGAATCCCTGGAGTCGCCGACGCCACTGGAAATGAGGTTTGGGGCGCCAGCGCCCCTGCGAGGTCCCCTGGGCACACCGACCCCTGGGAGAGCACTCGGGAGCGCAGCGTCTTATTAGAGAAATGGGTGGGACCCAGGGAGCACTGCTCCTGTAGCCCCCTAGGGGCAGATGTTTTTCCACTATTTAGAACAGTGGGAGATAAGACGTTAAATAAATACACCGCCCATCACATTTCCAGTATCATCGCATGAGGAACTATGTAAAGGAGAGGAAATATCCAACAGGAAAACATAAGTTGGGGTGTTGTGCTGAACGACTGATCTGTTCTCCTATTGGCTGTTATTTGGTAGATTTTTATTTTAGTCCACCAATCACAGTTAAGTAAGAGCTTGCTGGGCGAATTCTATATTTACGACACCATGATAGGGTAAGCTATAGGTTTATTGGGACAGGACGCCTTTGGTTGGGCCCCTGGGGTCCCTGCAGTCTCTGGGATGGCCCCAGGGGGCACCGACACCCCTGGGAGAGCCCCTAGGGGCGCCACTACCCCTGGGAAAGCCTCTCGATGTTCTGACGCCACTGGGAATGACTCTGGATTCGCTGCTGACAATGGAAGGGCCCCTTGGGTCGCTGCTTTCCCTTGGCGGGCCCCTGGGAGCGTCTTTGCCCTTGGAAGGGCCCTTGGGGACGCCGACACCCTTGGGATAGCCCTTTTGGTGCTACTGCCCCTGCGAGGGCCCCAGGGAGGGCGCCAGACATCGCCACTGCCGCTGGAGAATGCCTGGAGTCGCCGACGCCACTGGAAATGAGGTTTGGGGCGCCACCGCCCCTAGGAGGTCCCCTGGGTGCACCGACCCCTGGGAGAGCACTCGGGAGCGTATCACCTTATTAGAGAAATTGGAGGGCCCCAGCGAGCACTGTTCCTGTAGCCCCCCTAGGGGCAGTTGTTTTTGCACTATTTAGAACAGTGGGAGATAAGACGTTAAATAAATACACCGCCCATCACATTTCCAGTATCATCGCATGAGGAACTATGTAAAGGAGAGGAAATATCCAACAGGAAAACATAAGTTGGGGTGTTGTGCTGAACGACTGATCTGTTCTCCTATTGGCTGTTATTTGGTAGATTTTTATTTTAGTCCACCAATCACAGTTAAGTAAGAGCTTGCTGGACGAATTCAATATTTACGACACCATGATAGGGTAAGCTATAGGTTTATTGAGACAGGACGCCTTTGGTAGGGCCCCTGGGGTCCCTGCAGTCTCTGGGATGGCCCCAGGGGGCGCCGACACCCTTGGGAGAGCCCCTAGGGGCGCCACTACCCCTGGGAAAGCCTCTCGACGTTCTGACGCCACTGGGAATGACTCTGTTTTCGCTGCTGACAATGGAAGGGCCCCTTGGGTCGCTGCTTTCCCTTGGCGGGCCCCTGGGAGCGTCTTTGCCCTTGGAAGGGCCCTTGGGGGCACCGACACCCTTGGGATAGCCCTTTAGGTGCTACTGCCCCTGCGAGGGCCCCAGGGAGGGCGCCAGACATCGCCGCTGCCGCTGGAGAATGCCTGGAGTCGCCGACGCCACTGGAAATGAGGTTTGGGGCGCCACCGCCCCTGGGAGGTCCCCTGGGCACACCGACCCCTGGGAGAGCACTCGCTAGCGCAGCGTCTTATTAGAGAAATGGGTGGGACCCAGGGAGCACCTCTCCTGTAGCCCCCTAGGGGCAGATGTTTTTGCACTATTTAGAACAGTGGGAGATAAGACGTTAAATAAATACACCGCCCATCACATTTCCAGTATCATCGCATGAGGAACTATGTAAAGGAGAGGAAATATCCAACAGGAAAACATAAGTTGGGGTGTTGTGCTGAACGACTGATCTGTTCTCCTATTGGCTGTTATTTGGTAGATTTTTATTTTAGTCCACCAATCACAGTTAAGTAAGAGCTTGCTGGGCGAATTCAATATTTACGACACCATGATAGGGTAAGCTATAGGTTTATTGAGATAGGACGCCTTTGGTAGGGCCCCTGGGGTCCCTGCAGTCTCTGGGATGGCCCCAGGGGGCGCCTACACCCCTGGGAGAGCCCCTGGGGGCGCCACTACCCCTGGGAAAGCCTCTCGATGTTCTGACGTCACTGGGAATGACTCTGGGTTCACCGCCGACAATGGAAGGGCCCCTTGGGTCGCTGCTTTCCTTTGGCGGGCCCCTGGGAGCGTCTTTGCCCTTGGGAGGGACCTAGGGAGCACTGTTCCTGTAGCCCCCTAAGGGCAGTTGTTTTTGCACTATTTAGAACAGTGGGAGATAATTATACAGTAACAACTATCATATATTTTATTCCAATCTAATTTTGTAAACTGTTTTTTATTCATTTTACATATATTTTTTCTAATTTTCTTATGCAATACAGACTCATATTAATATTTTATTTATAAGAACGATCTGACGAGGGTGTGAGGGTGATGAATGGTGAGGGTAGAGCGATGACAGCGCCACCAGTCACTTCTTAAACCTCTATATACACTGATTATCTCTTATTCATCCTGTTTGCCTTCTTGTAGTTACACCTGCGTAGTTTCTTGCCCTCCACCCGTAGCTTCCTCATGGTGTACCTGTATCGCTGGATTTGTATTCTGATCTGACTCTTCTTAACCATCAGACACAGCTTCTCCAGTCCTTCCTCTAGCTGGTCTTCACTGCCCATCGCCTAAGAGACAGAGAGTCGGGTGTCACTGATGATCTTATGTTAAATGGGCAAGATCTGACAGTGTTTGTTGTTTGTGTGTTGTATGTTTGGTGTAAGATCTGACACTCATTATTGTTTGTGTGTTGTATGTTTGGTGTAAGATCTGACACTCATTATTGTTTGTGTGTTGTATGTTTGGTGTAAGATCTGACACTCATTATTGTTTGTGTGTTGTATGTTTGGTGTAAGATCTGACACTCATTATTGTTTGTGTGTTAGGTGTTTGGTAAGATCTGGACACTCATTATTGTTTGTGTGTTGTATGTTTGGTGTAAGATCTGACACTCATTATTGTTTGTGTGTTGTATGTTTGGTGTAAGATCTGACACTCATTATTGTTTGTGTGTTGTAGCGTTTGGTGTAAGATCTGACACTCATTATTATTGTGTGTGTTGTATGTTTGGTGTAAGATCTGACACTCATTATTGTTTGTGTGTCGTGTGCTTACAACAAAACACAGAGACACTAGAAAATTGACATCTATTTTACACACCTACATATAAACTACTTATTTAAGCGTTTAAGTGAGTATATATCAAGATATAAGTAAGTATAAGTGAGTATAAGTGACTTACAGTGAGGGAAACAGTAGGTTTAGTACGTCTGCTAGGTACTGTGAGGGTCACTTGATCCCAGAACGCCCCGCCCACTGTCTCCGTCAGGATCTCCGTCAACATGGACTCAAACTGTGAAGACGAAAGTAGTGCTGATGGTAGTCTCTCTCTCTCTCTCTCTCTCTCTCTCTCTCTCTCTCTCTCTCTCTCTCCACACACACACTCCCTACCCTCCATCCCCCATCCCCACACACACACTTCCACTCCCACACACTCCCTCCCCCCCCACATCCCCATTCCCCCCCCAAGACCTTACCTCAGCCTCGTTCCTCAACAGAGCTTTCCTTCTGCCACCTATCACACTCATCTTAACGTTCTTGTAGACAGGATTCTGAGGCGCGACCAACACCTCTGTAGGGGTAGATGAAGGAAGGGTAGATTAGTAAGGGGTAGATGAAGGAAGGGTAGATTAGTAAAGGGTAGATGAAGGAAGGGTAGATTAGTAAAGGGTAGATGAAGGAAGGGTAGATTAGTAAGGGGTAGATGAAGGAAGGGTAGATTAGTAAAGGGTAGATTAGTAAAGGGTAGATGAGATACGGGTAAATCCGACTTCCCAATCCCACTCCAGTCCACACCTGCACCCCCCCACTCCCTAATGCCTTCCTATTTAACACCCCATCACCCCGCTCTCCCCTCCTTAATCCTACTCCCTAATCCCTACTAAATACTCCTCAAATCTCCCTCACTGAATCTTAATCCCTAAATCATAACATTAATCCCCTCCTTAATGCTACTCCCCCAGTTCCTCCCTAGCAATCTCCCTCCCCAGCCTCCTTACTCCCTCATTCCCTCCCTAGCAATCCCCCTCCCCAGCCTCCTTACTCCCTCATTCCCTCCCGAGCAATCCCCCTCCCCAGCCTCCTTACTCCCTCATTCCCTCCCTAGCAATCCCCCAGGACGTACCATCTGTTGTGAAGTCCAATACCCAGCCGATAGGACTGACGGAGGCGCTGAAGTGGAGGCGGTAGGAGGAACCTGCGTCAGCGATAGCAAGATCATTTAACGTGACGCTGGTGATGTTGGCGTCCTGAGCTGTGAATCTGTGAGGGTGTCAGAGGGTGTTAGTGGGTGTGGAAGAGGAGGGTGGGTATGGGAGAGGAGGGTGGGTGTGAGATAGGAGGGTGGGTGTGGAAGAGGAGGGGTGGGGTGAGGAGGAGAGGAGGGTGGGGTGGAGAGAGGAGGGGTGGGTGTGGAGAGAGGAGGGTGGGTGAGAGAGGAGGGGTGGGTGAGAGAGGAGGTGGGGTGGGAAGAGGAGGGTGGGTGTGGAGAGAGGAGAGGGGTGAGGAGAGGAGGGTGGGTGTGGGAGGGGAGGGTGGGGGAGGGAGGGTGGGGTGGGGGAGGTGTGGGAGGGGTGAGGGTGGGTGGGAGAGGAGGGTGGTGTGGGAGAGGAGGTGGGTGTGAGAGGTGAGGGTGGGTGGGGAGGGGGGAATTATGAGTGTGTTGGTGTATTGGAGTGAGTGTGAGGGAGTGTAGAGTGTGTGAATGAGTCAGTTTGTGGAGGTGTGTGCTGTCTACTGCTGTCTATTCGATGTCTGTCTGTTGTCTGCTGTTTACTGATGTCTGTCTGTCTGTCTGCTGTCGTTACTCACGTTTTTTCTCCTGTCAACGAGCTCCTGTACTTCCTGTCACTCAGTAACTCGACGCTTCCTGTCATTGTCTGGCCCTGTGGGGAGAAAACAAGACGTGAGAGAGAGAGAAATAAAGAGAGACAAAGAGATAGAGAGAGAGAGAGAGAGAGAGAGAGAGAGAGAGAGAGAGAGACAGTAAACTTTTCTCCGTTAGTACAAAATATCAAAGCAAACAAATTAACTATCTCACCAGTTAGGTTAGAGACGAATCAGCTTATCTCTCCCTCCTTTCTTTCTCACACACTCTCTCTCTCTCTCTCTCTCACCTGTAGGCTTAGATGGTTCTTAATTATCTCACCTGCAAGACAGATGGTTCAACAGGTTCGCCAGAGTCATCGTCCACTAGGGTGAGGTTGAGTGAGAACACGTCCCCGGCCACCAGTACGTCGGGGTATACAGCCATCGTGAACACCACCTTCTTCTCCTGGGCCCTGTGGGTGTAGGAGGAGGGAGGTGGTGTTAGGGTCATCTTGTTGTTTACTTATCTGTCTATCTGTCTATTACTATTTATGGTGATCTGTCTGTGTTTTGTTTTCTCTCCGTCTCTCTATTTAGCTCTTTCTTTTAATGTGTGGAGGGATCGATAGATTGAGCGATGGATCGATAAACAGAAAGAATGAGACAAGGTTCGATGCTATCCAACACCCTCGAGTACCTGCTTGAAGGAGACGTCTAAGGGGGGGGGGTGACACGTCCGTCAATAGTACCTAATTGCAGGCGGCGTCGAGACTCAAAATTAAGAGAAGAGATTCTAGGACCTACCTGAAGGTGTTGTTAAGACCTATTGTGAGGGTTGGTGCGGTGTCCGGGTAAGTGAAGCTGAAGGAGAGGTTGTAGAGATCGCCGGCGGTGTCCACGAAGAGGTCAGTAAAGATGGCAGCCCCCTCCGTGTAAGGCACCGAGCTAGTCCCCAGGAGAGAGGCACCGTCGGGGCCTCCTTCAAGTGTGGCCGTTATCATCCAGGGGTCGCTGCTGTGACCCAGAGACTTTATTTTCGAGCCCTAGGAGAGAGAAGGTGAAGTGAGACCATGTAGTGAGTGTTTATTGTCAGAGAGAGAGAGAGAGAGAGAGAGAGAGAGAGAGAGACTCACCTCGCTATTCTGGACGGAGATGGAGGGTTGAGAGTCGAAGAGTGTGTAGGTGGTGATGGTGGCTGGGACGCCCTGTAATAAAGTGGCTGCCGAGGGGTGTTCAAAAGTCTGGGCCTGCAGGCTTTTGTTGAGGGCTTCCTGTTCTTCCTGTTGCTGTAAGTTGCTGAACAGTTCTTCTCCCTCGTTGACCTGAGTTCCGAACTCCTGCGTCGCCGGACCTGTTGGTTCCTTCGGGGGCTGAACGGGATCACTGACCTGAAATTTACGTAGTACATGACCGCTGTCCCTCAAGTTATTATCACATATCAGGTGTCATCGAGGACTCCAAACTCTCGGGTGATCTAAGTTACTGACTGAAATATGAATCATTCATCACAAATGTTTACTGACGATGCTAAGTTATTTAGAGAAATTAAAAACCAAACGGACTGTGAAGCGCTGCAAGAAGATTTCTGTCAACTTCGGGAGTGGTCAAAATAATGACTGCTAAGATTCAACGTCACGAAATGCAAGAGGATGCACCTGGGTCGTACCAACAATAAGGAGGCGTATCACATGTCCCAACGGGACGAAGAAACAGCATTAACGGAGACTGGATGTGAAAAGGACCTGGGTGTGTATGTTGACAATGAACTGAAGTTCTCGGACCATTGTGAGAAGAAGGTGAATCAAGCAACGAAACTAGTAGGGGCTTTCCCGGCTGGAGTACTGTCACCCCGTCTGGGCCCCGAGATACTCTAGAGACTGTCATGTGATTGAAAATGTCCAAAGGAAGGCCAGGAGACTGCTGCCAGCACTTCGGCACCTCGGGAACCATGAAAAACTAGAGCGCCTACAGTTGCCAAGCTTATACTATAGGCAGGAAAGGGATGACTAAATAGAAGTTTATAAACATCTCAGAGGACACTACTCAGTCAAGAGTGTTCATACCTGGAACTGGTGGACGCCCGCCCCACTACAGGTTACACAAGTCCAGAAAACTGTCAGGACAAACTTTTGGGAGTGAAAATTGCAAACTCTTGGAACAATTTGCCAGAGAGTGTTGTGACGGCACCGAGTGTGAGCTATTTCAAGACCAGATTTGACCAACACTGGAGCAGGTTCAGATACATTCAGGAACCCGTACATGCCCAGTAATTGCCAACAGTGCGTTACAGAGACGTGACCGACCACTCAAGCTGCTGACAGGTCGATCAGTGGTGAAGGGGATAAAGTAAAGTATCAGAGCAGGTGTACTGTACCTCTAATGAAGCGAGGGTGAGGTTACAGGCTGTACACCCATCACCCTGGAAGAGGTTGACGACCTTCACTACGGCGTTCAACAGGTCATCGTAGGTCAATTCTTGGCCACTGGAATTGCTGGCGGCAACGTTGTTTCCATCCTCGCTCTCGGCTGGGGCATTTCCCACCTCGAACTGTAGTGAGAAGGGCAAGTGCACACAGGAGTAAGTTGGGGATAGAGTTGAGGGATTTAGAACACACTGTTTGGCTGAGAGGAAATATGAAGAATATTGTTGTATGGAGAAGTTATCTTTTAGTAACAAAGGCCCAAATGTTACCAATTTTCTATACTGGGAATATAACAAAACAGAACTTGCAAGAGTTACTACCTGATATTGCACTGTTTCGGTAGAGCTCCTTCTGCGCCTTCTCCCGGAGTCCTCGCGGATGATATCAGCGACCCTGATATTCTCAGAGGACACTCCCAGGAGGTCGGCCATGTTCTGTACGATATTCTCGTCGTAAATTTCGTCTGGGCTGACAACGAGGCCGGTGGTGAGGATGACGACGGGTGATGTCTTGATGTCGATGACGTGGCCGCCGCGGATCACAAGATGGAGGAACTTCTCAGCCCTCTGCAGGTAGTTGGTGCCTACAGCCTGTGGTGACGTGAGGGAGAGAGGTGGTGCTGGTGAGATCAGGTAAGGAAATTTGTTTACAGAGATGTACGAGTACAGTATATAAGCATGAAACCGACTTTTGTATTACTTTTGTATTATTGACAGTTTGGATGGACGTGGATATACACAAGAAACTCGTCTCCCGACAAGAACCTACGTCAGTGAGTGTAGGGAAGTACTGCTCTGGGTTGTTCGGGTCCTCGGGGAGCAGCTGGTACTTCGGTGGGTACTTGGTCGTGTCTATGTTCGTGGGTGGTACGTAAGTATCGTCCACGTACACGTCGTAGCGCTGCGTCTTGGGGAAGAAGAGACGCACCACCACCATCTCGCTGGGGTGGGCGTGCAGCAGGTGGAAGCGGATTACCTGTAGGTGCAACAGATGGTGGTGGTAAGGTGTCTCAGGGCGCGACAGGTGATGGAAAGATTTATTCAACGTACTAACTCACTCTCCCTTAGACATGTATATTCCTTACAAGTATCCTCACCAATACACCCTTCTTATGCACCTCCTCTATGCCTCCCTGTACCTCCTACCTGTAAGTGGTCCATCTACTCCTTCCTACACTTATACAGTTAAGGATCTCTACTCTAGGTCCTCCTTCTTGAGAGGGTCGTCTACACCTCCTCTGGTTTGTGATCCTCCAGGTTTTGTGGCCACTAAGTCCTCAAGACTCCTACTCTCACCCCCCGACCTGTGAGGACTCTTCCCTTCTATATTTAAGGAACCTCCAGCTAGTGGGTGTCCTCCGTGGGCCCTCCAGACCTCCTACCTGTGGAGGGGTGCCGGTCATGGCCATCTCGTAGATGGTGTCCACAGCAACGACGGAGTAGAAAGTCGATATACGCTCCTGGCAGGTGTAGCCCATACACCAGCCTCGGTCCATGGGGCCGTTCACCAGGTCCACGTAGCCGTTGGTGCCTGGTGGTGCAGGAGGACATCGTCAGGGCATAAGTGTGGTTACAGGAGAACACATAACGGTTTGGTGTACAGAGAAAGTTTCTAATAATAGACTGTAAGGTGAACATGTCTTTGAACTTTAGACAATAAAGAAAGTAGAGAGAGTAAGCTTTATGTTAAGTGTCAATAAGATAAAGATACTGAGGACGAAAATGTAAGTTGGAGTCACTGAACATAACAGTTATTAAACTGATAGTCACCTGGGTTAGCGATGAGGGCGATGGGCGAGACGCGGCGGATCTCTGTATCGGAGTCGAGACTCTCGAAGACCAACATGCGGTGACGGAGGTTGGTGCACCTCCACGCCTGCCACGCCGCCATCTGGGTGCACGACTCGTCCCTTATGATACCTGCGGCATCCAGCCAGGGTCAACAAGGGTCAGGAGCATCCCAGGTGCCTACTATATTTACGTAGCTACGAGAGTTAAAGGACTTGGAAAGTTAAATAATACCTATGAGGCCAGAGTGGTGGAGGACCAGAGGCCACCACCACTCACCCAGAATGAATTCAACTGTGGCTAAAAGAAGAATCATCTTTATTGACCCTTTAAAGCTCGTCCTCGAATAAAGCCTCGAGGATGAAGTCAACAGAGGTCGCACCCGAACTGATACGTAATGAAAAACTTGAACTTAAGACAAGAAAATGAAGAGGAAGCCACAAGAAGGTTAAGGTCTTGTCTGCCAATAGAAAACTTGCCCTTCACAACCTCATGAAAATTTGTTTTCATGTACCACTAAGCTTCCCAGGTGAACAGAAGTCAACCTACTACAGTGTGGCACAGGACTAGGCCAGTGAGATCACGTGATATCAACTCTCAGCTCACCTTTGTTGGGGAACTTCTCAGACGCGGGGATCTGGGAGCCATCAGACCGCTGCTTCAGTGAGACGGGGATCCTGTAGTCACCGACGCCGTGGGACCTGTCACCGTCCCACTCGTGCTCCGCCTCCGAGATCGCCGTCGCGTTTACCGACCCTGACGAAGAGGTGAGATTTTTATATCGGTTCTACACACACTACACCCTACACCCATAAACTCACCCACTCTACACCCTAACACCCAGGAAATCACCCACTCTACACCCTACCACCCAGGAACTCACCTAGGAGAGAGCCATCCATGTCTTGCAGCACCACCTTCTTCAGACCATCACAGTCCATATCAACACAGTCGGAGGGGTTGACGCGGCCCAGGTTAGCTCTGTGGGAGGAACCAGTCAAGTGTGAACGTAGAGACCAGCCTGAGTTATGAGGTGGACACGTATACTATGAGGACTATGGTGAGGGATAATGAAGGAAAGATAGGGAGAGAGAGAGAGAGAGAGATAAAGATCCAGACAAGCAGACAGACAGACAGACAGACACACACAAAGAGACAGACCATAAACAACAAAACCACACCACCAAGACTCACCTGTGGAAAAAGAGGTAATTATCCTCAGGTGTATCAACAAAAGTGAGCTCGCTAGTGAACACAGGATGGATGCCGTCGTCAGATTCCTTGTTGGTCAGGATTGCAACGTCATGTCCACAACTACGAGTGCCGAAGCTAACAAAGATGACATTGTTGACGTAGGTGGCACCGTAAAGGGCCGGGTAACTGGAGGCCTCATTGAACTTGTGTTTGGGTGCCACTGTGAAGAGTTTGGTGGTCATGAGTCACGGTGTATCGTATTACAACCGACCACAACAAACTTACTATTCACAACGTATCGTAAGAGAAATTATAAAAAAACACCTTACACAGGAAACATTGTATTCACAGTGTATCGTACTACAATCGACCACAACAAACTTACTATTGGTGCTAGACATGAAGGAGGCGAACAGGAGGCCGGTGTTACCATCATCCACACCTCCTTTCCAAAAGACGTCGTGGAAAGACTCATAGGTGTCCTGGAAGCTGGAAGTAGAATCATGGTACTCACAGCTGTAGGAGGGAGATGCCCCGACCATCAAGCTATTCTCAATAATGGCGGTCTTGGGGAAAGCTTGGTGGGTGAGGGCAGGAGGGGAGTACACCAGTGGATTCACCCCAAGCTTACTGTCGACGACCATCACCTGAGAACGTGGGGATTAACATATTGGTTAGCTCTGATAGGGATTAGGGACATTTCTAACACAATAAAAAGCCTAAGGGACATTACTCACAGACTAAATGCATCAACAACACCCCTAAGAGACTAACACAACTACTTATGCAAAACCGAATCACTATACGACGCCATTTTATCTCACTCAGACTGAAATAACAACAACAATCCTTTATTTGAGTATAGGACCTCGTAGGATCAGGATATACGTGTCGTAGAAGGGGGTGTATATCCTTACGTCTGAGAGGATGAAGCTGGCGTAGTGTTGCATGTAGAAAGCGGTATCCCACACCCTCCAGGCGTAGAAGTCATTGAGGCGACGACATTCATCTGCTGGCCCATTTCCTCCCTTACTCCAGAGCTGAGGGAGGATAGGTGTGCAGGTTAGAGTGTTAGGAAGGACAGATGTAGAGGTTAGAGTACCAGTGGGGACAGGTGTGTGAGAGTACCAGGGAGGACAGGTGTAAAAGTGTTAAAGTGGGACAGGTGTCAATATAATTACCCATAAGACAGATGTTTTACAGATAGATCAAAATAACTTCATCTTCCTTGTAAAATTAACATCAAAATAATAAGATCCACGAACAACAAGACACACAACCTCCTGGATTAACACACGCCAGTAAACACCAACACCTCCTTCGTCAGGATAATCTCACCAGGACGCCGAAGGTAGCAGAGTGGACTTCATTGTTGCTCCAATTGGTGGGGTCCTCACAATACTCTCCATAGGTCCTGTAGCCAGCCTGTTCCGATCCTGAAAATAACCAGATCATCATTATTTCCTCCTTGTTTCCCTTCCTTACCACACAGACAGACAGACAGACGGACAGAGAGAGACACATACATACATACACACGGACGCGGGAACTCACCAGCCACTACATTGTCTTCTAGAACTGTCCCTGAGGCTTTATTGAGATCGAATCCACCAAACCAGTCCAAGTTCTGTGACTCCTCGCGGCCATTGTAGGTCCCAGGGAAGAGCATGACGGAGATGAGGTTGTCTCTGAAGGTGTTCTCCGCGCTGTCGTCCCTGATGCCTGAGGAGGAACAAGAGAGAGGAGTTAGTAAGAGGTAGAGGAATACGTGCTTGTAAGAGAGATAGAGACAAAGAGAGAGAGAGAGAGAGAATAGGGGAGATAGAACAAGCAAGTGTGGGTTTCTGTTCAGTAAGACAACCCACACAGATGGAAATAAGATCAAATTCAATCTTTCTCAGCCCATTCAGCCCACACTTACCAGAGCCCACGGTGTGATAGACGACGCTAGATTCTACAGTGATGTTGTCGGAGCCGAAGAACCCGAGCGCGGCGTTGTAGTTCACGTTGAAGGAGCATTTCTTGACGTAGTTTGAGCCGTCGTCTACCCCGAGGCCGTGGAAGGCGAGGGAGAAGCGAGGATCGTCAGTGTCCGTGAAGCCAAACTGACCGACGTTCTTGAATTCTACACCAGAGAGCTTGGCACGACCTAGGGGAGATAAAATGGGAGTTAGGTCAACGTGTGTGTGTGTGTGTGTGTGTGTGTGTGTGTGTGTGTGTGTGTGTGTGTGTGTGTGTGTGTACGTGTGTGTGTGTGTGTGTGTGTGTGTGTGTGTGTGTGTGTGTGTGTGTGTCTGTGTCTGTGTGTGTACGTGTGTGTGTCTGTGTGTGTGCGTGTGTCTGTGTGTGTACGTGTGTGTGTGTGTATGTGTGTGTCTGTGTGTGTAGTTTTAAAAGTACTCAACACTTTCACTTACCACCTATATGACTCATCCACGCACCTCAACCCCTCATCCACCACCTATTTGACTCATCCACGCACTCAACGCCAATAAGACTCATCCACACGCACTCCAATCCTTCATCCACCAGCTGTTATACTCACCCACATAATCCACACCATCCTCATTGAATCGGGAGACGAGGATGCGGGCGCCGAAGCTGTCTTGCTGTAGGTCAGGGTAGTCATTCCCTTCTATGACGATATTGTGAGTGAGTAGACCGACCTCACCCGCCAGTGTGTAAGTCCTTGTGGTACCCGTCACTGTGTGGGTCTCACCTGTCGAGGACGCCAAGGAAGGTGATGTTATAATTGAAGAGAGAGAGAGAGAGAGAGAGACATCCAAGGGCGCTTCTCACTTATTAGAACAGCGATGAACAAGCATATGAGCAAATAAATGTCGTAGCAAAGAACAGACCAACAGTTCGAACACCTAGAAAGAAAACGAACAAGTCTGAAAGCTATTAGAGAAAACGAATAAAGTTTAAGGGTAACTTACCTAGATGGTCGTAACTCAGAGGGCTGTCGAGGGTTAGGACAGACCCAGATACACCCGTCACTGTCCTCACCTCTGTCTCCAACGCTTCTTTCCCAGTCGCTGTCACCATAACCTGTGGGATATGAAAGATGTTAAAGGTTACGTTAATGGCTTATAATGGACAACAGAAGGTTCAGAACTGTTAGAAATGGCGGGAAAACATTATTAAAACGTCATAAACTTGAGTTATAGGTGCCAGAGAGGGTAATTGATGAGGCCAGATGTAATCCAAGTGATAGTTAAGGGGCTAAGGGTATAATTAATAAGGTAGATGGAGAGTTAAAGAGTTAGAGAGGGAGTTAAGGGTAGTTAGTGAATTATAAATCACTAAAGGAATTAAGGAACAAATCTACATACCTCTTTGTTGAGCCATGAGGCGCTGGCGGGCTGAGCAAGCGTGAGCTGGGAGTCTCCTGCGGTGGCTGTGGCTCCTAACTTGACCCAAGTCCTCCCTGTTACCTGCCCGTGGAGGGACAGCTGCCCGAACACACCTGTAAACATACGACTGGGTCACTACAGGTGTTAGAATGACCTCATCTATGTAATTTAGTGACAAAATCACCGCGGAGATAATTGAACAGGTGTAAATAGCTGATTAAAAATAACCTAATGTTCTATAAACTTACCTATTAACTTACCTATGACTTTGTTTATGATTTACCTAAACCCATGCCTTCACACTTACCCACAGCCTTCCAGCCCACACTCGGTACGCCGTTGGGCATGGGCATGTCAACGTTGTCTGGGTCATTAGGGTCAAGGGTGCCACGGAGGACGATGTTGAGGTTATTGGTGAAGGGCGACTCCTCTGAGAACCCGGCCACCACACTGCCACCCTGGAGGAGTGCCAAGTCAACATCTATTACTTTAATGCCAAATAAACAAGTATTGATTCTCTTGAGTGCCAAAAAAACCCTGCTGTACTTCTCTTGAGTGCCAAAATAACCTTCTGTCCCTCTCTGGAGTGCCAAGTAAACCTATAGTGCCTCTCTGGAGTGCCAAGTAAACCTATAGTGCCTCTCTGGAGTGCCAAGTAAACCTATAGTGCCTCTCTGGAGTACCAAGTAAACCTATAGCGCCTCTCTGGAGTGCCAAGTAAACCTTCTATATCCTAGTGCCAAATGAACCTTCCATTATAGTGCCACATGAACCTTTACTACTCTACAGTGCCAGATAATAACCATTTACTCGACAGTGCCACTCACATAGGGTCACAGGGCACACCATCAGGTTCAGAGTACCCCCAGGTAAGTTAGTGTCCCTCACCTGTATGTAAATGATGGTGGTGTTGAAGACATGGTCCATGGTGTCCTCAAACTCTAGAGTACCATAAACTCGGACACGGCCTAATGGAGGGGTCACGGTGTCCACAGTGACCCACATGCCTGAAGAGATAAACACACGTGTCCAGATTATGTCCAAGAAGAAGAGCTAATTAAGGTGGGGGTGGGGGGGGAAATGTCCAATACGTGTCCTAGAGAAGAAAATTACTCATTTAAGATTGTTCTAGATGTCCTTACATGTCCCTAAAAAAAACAAGAACAAATTTCACGTTATTCTACAGTAAATGTCCAATTATGTCAAAAAAACACCAATTACAGATTATTTTTAGTGTCCACGTGTGTCCTAACTGAGAGGCTGACACGGTGATCTCGGGATGGTTCAGGTGACGTTGTAATCTTTTGATGTCCTGAATAAGACAACTTGGTGTCCTATTAATATCTATAAGGAATATATTTCTCAACTCTTACCATGACGTCACAAATCTCACCCTGACGTCATAAATCTTATCCCTGACGTCACAAATCCCCTCCTCATGTCACAATTTTCCCTCTGACGCCACAACTCTCACCCTGACGTCACAATTCCCACCCTGACGTCACAATTCCCACCCTGACGTCACAATTTTTCACCCTGACGTCACAACTCTCTTCCTGACGTCATAAATCTCACCTTGGGGAATGACAATCTCGTCTCCTTCTACAGGTAACCCATAGACACTCTCAGACGGGTGGCCTCCGGATCCCACAGGTACCTCCTTCCAGGTCTCTACGTCTGACCACTTAAACGTGACACTTGGCCTCCCCGTGGGTACAGGTGGAGGTGTGGGGAGGATACAGTCTGTGTATTTACACCTGAAAGGAGACCAACACGTTGTTATTCATGGGTAACAGGTATTAATGGGTGGGCTATGTATTAAGGGACAAGGTAAACAGAACAGGTGTTAGGGGGAGTCTACTGGGGGACAATGTAAACAACAGGTGTTAGGGGGTAAGTCATGTACTGGGGGACAATGTAAACAACAGGTGTTAATAAACGAGCTGTGTACTAAAGAACAATGTAAACAGATTAGCTTTAAGGGAGCAATATACTATTAAAGTGATCTAGTGTTTACTGAGGTGCAATGTAAACACACAACATCTGTAGGAATAGGAATTAGTGTTTACCCAGTGATGTAAACAAGACTAGAACGCGTGTTTCTTCCAAGTTTAAACCAAAACAGACTCACTAGTTTACCCTAACAGTATAGCCAGACAGATACTAATTTAGACAGTGTAGCCAGACAGACGCTCAACCCAGACAGTGTAACCAGACATACACTCAACCCAGACAGTGTAACCAGACATACACTCAACCCAGACAGTGTAACCAGACATACACTCAACCCAGACAGTGTAACCAGACATACACTCAACCCAGACAGTGTAACCAGACATACACTCACCTGTACACTCCGAAGTCAATTCGTCTATTACTACCTGCACTTCTCTCGTCAAAGATGGCTGACCTACGCCTCTCAGTTGCTACATTATTCGACACTGTAACATACAATAGATAGATAGATTAGATAGATAGATTATATAGAATTAGATATTATCATAGTTATATATGTAGGTAAAGTGTCGCCTCCTTCCTACTTACCCCTCAGTAGGTCAAGCTCGGCCCCCTCCCCCACTTACCCAGATAGGTCATGGTGCGTGTGTCATTATTCCAGTAGTAGTCACCATGGAAACCTGTGGTCGAGTCAGGTATGGTGTCGCTGCTGTTCCTCTCAGTGTTGGTCGTGCTGCGTGAAGGAAGACACGGCAAGTTAGATCGAGCTGTTAATACGTGTGATTGTTGGTGATTGTGGAGGGGTTATTTACGACTGGGGGGAGTGTTGTGGGGAGTTATTTACGAAGATTAGGGTGTTCTAAGGAGGTAATTAACGATCACCATCAACAGGAGAGAAGGGAGTGGTTACCTGAAGCCATCTGGTTGTTGAATAAACTCGTGCTGGACGTAATAGTAATCACCAGTGTCAACAAAGCGAGTCTCAGCCGTGTAGGAGAAGTTGGTGATCTGTCGATGATTTAAAGCACTTGTCAACACAGGTCAATAATGTCAACCTGAATTAAATATTATCGGGTTATTTTTTGGGGGGTTGATTTTTCATCTTGTGATTGAGATTTATGGATAGGATAGTAATTTAGATGTTATTTTTAATAGTTTATGGGTCGTTTGATATATTTTCGGGAGTTTAGTTTATTTTAAGAGATGTCGGAGCTCTGGTTAGGATTTTATACGTCAACAAATGTCAATAATTTTTTTTTTGGGGGGGGTGGGGTAGGGGGTAGGTTCTTGTCTCAAAAACTCGTCTCATAAGTTAAGCTCAGAGATAACCAAATCCTCATCTCACACAAACTCATCTCACCTGTGCCGAATCATCAAAGGTCCAACCATACGTCTCCCCCGTGTACAATATCCCCATCCAACCTTCCGTAGTCAATCTCTTCACCATATACGGGACGGTGGTGCTGCCGTGTGTATTGGAGACGACCAGGTTGTTTCCTTTAAGAGATTCTGGTTCGATGTTGGGTCCTTTAACGTTGAAGCGAAGGAACCGGAAGCTATCAGAACACACGGAGCCTGGAGCCTGTTGGTGGTAGGGGTAGTGGTGGTGGTGGTGGTAGTGGTGGTGGTGGTAGTGGTAGTGGTGGTAGTAGTGGTAGTGGGATAGAGAGAAAATAGAATTAGATGGAGATAATAATGATGACACACACACACACACACACAAACACACACACACACAAACACACACACATACATACACACACATAAACACACACACATACATACACACACACATACTGTACATACATATAGAGACTAAAAAAAATACTCAGAAAATAAAACACAAAGACAGACAGACAGACAGACAGACAGACACCCCTTAACTTACCGCTGGGTTGACAGAGAACTCGGCCACGTCCATCTGACAGTCGGACCGGGGTAATATGCCCATAGACGGTACCACACTATTCTCTGGAGACCCTGACAGAGACCCGTCAGCATCCACCCAAACCGTCTCGTGTTCCCACTTAAACTTGAGCTGTAGGAGACAAAGAGACAGAGAGATAATAGACAGTAGGAGGTGAGAGAGACAGAAAGATGGGAGGAGGTGAGAGATAAGAGATAGGAAGTAACTCCCTTCAAACACCTATATCACCTAGATGTCTCAAAACCTCGCCTAGGAGTCCCAAAACCTCACCTAGGAGTCTCAAAACCTCACCTAGGAGTCCCAAAACCTCACATAGGAGTCCAAAAACCTCACATAGGAGTCCCAAAACCTCACCTAGGAGTCCCAAAACCTCACGTAGGAGTCCTAAAAACCTCACCTTATTGGGAGAGTTGACGAAAGATAGCCCCTTCACCTGGGACTTGAAACCACCTTGGAACACTTTACACTGAGAGCAGCCTGACAGTGCCGCACATTGGCCATTGTCGTAGTTGACGAACGTGGTGTTGGCGATGCTGAAGCGGTACTTCTTGGGGGCGACGATCCCACTGGTGTCATCGTCGCATTTCTCCGGCGTGAGGGACGAGTAGCCCACCACCAGGGAGTCGAACACACCTACAGGAGGAAGAGGAAGATGGAAATGATGAGGGGAAGGAAGAGGGGGAGGTGGAGGATGTAAACAAATGAATGGAGAAGAAGGAAGAGAGAAGGATGTAAAAGAGGAAGAATGAGGAAGAAGATGATGAGGAGGAAGAGAAAGAGTAAATGGAGACATAAACAGAAGATAGTGATGATGGTGATGGTGTTAAAATAAGACTATAGAAACCAATTATTAATCTCCCAGTAAAACAAATCTATCATAACTAGAAACCACCCTTCCCCACCCACCCCCCCACCCACCACCCCCGTCCCCAGTCACTCACCAGCTCCATCGTCGAGACCAAAATTTCCAGAGACCTCAACCATCTCGAGACCGGCCTTCTGGTTATCCAAAGCCACAAAGTTATGGAACTGTAAGGCGCCTCCAATCACCGCCTCTGCACCCCTGTCACACCTCCACACCGTGAAGTCATGCCAAGCCGCGACCTGTAGTGATGAGGGAGGTAGTTTGTGAGGGAGGTAGGTTGTGAGGGAGGTAGGTTGTGAGGGAGGTAGGTTGTTAGTGATGGTTGTAGGTTATAAGTGTTATGGCCGTTCGTATTAAATTTCCAGCTGAATACATAAAAATAGTGAAAATATCCTGATAAAAATGAAATTAAAGAAAACGGATATAAATTAGATGAAAGAAAACTTAATTATTTTTTAATGACTAACTTAGGTATATCAACTAATGTCAAAAGAGTAAGCACCTTGTTTCCACCTCCACAGTCACGCGTTTTGGGGAAGTAGCCATCCATGGAGAAGATCCAGAGACCGTACCTGTCGGAGATCAATGTCTTATTATCACACAGAGACCATAAATGGAGATGATGATGAAAAAATAATCCTATTAAGAGACAAAATATATCAACAAAAGCTCGAATAGTTCCGTCATTATCAAACTTTTTCACTTCCAAGCCGAGAGGTGAATAATCTATATTAATCCACAACAAATATAAATAACTAATATCTATCGTATAAAATCATACTATTTAGATTTTCGAGACAATAAAAATACCCGAGTTTGTGGTTTTGTTTTGATTTTAGAACCAAGAATCGTAAATGAAATCTGTACTCAACAAACCTTCCGAGAGAGTGAGCAGTGTTGTTGTAGAATTCTCCCATGAGCGCGTTGTTCTGGCAGTAGGAGGTGGTAGCTGAGGGTCCTGATGGATGACGCTCCAGGCGGTACCAATAGCCGAAGTGCGTGCCTCCTGCTGCAGCGTTGTGTCTCACGATGTTGTTGGGATTTACCACCTGTAGAAGGAAGTAAATATATTCTTTGGCTGTCTCTAATATCAGTTTAAGACCTCGACAATATCTTCAGTTTAAGACTTCAACAGTTTCAGCTTAACACCTGTCAATATCTTCAACTTAAGACCCCTTCCTCAATTACTATAACACACCTGCCTACCAGACGCAAGACGAATCAGGACATCATCACAAACTGACCTATTCTCACGAAGGAAACGCTAAGACTCACCCAGAACGATGAAGGCGTCACATCAACGTTGAGTAGAGAGGAAGAGCTACGTGTGTATATGGCTAAGTTGTACTGAATGACGTTATGTTGTTCGATGCCATCCTCAGTGAAAATAGCGTGGCCCATGTTATCGTATACCACGTTGTGCTGTATGGTGAGGTAGTCGGCAGCGTGGATGGTGATGGCGCGGTTGTAGGTGCGGTGGACAGCACACCCGCGGATGTATGAGGTGCTGACGTTCCCCACCAGATGGAAGTGAAGCGGGTAGCGACCAAGCTGGAAGGCCTGTGATCCAAGGAGTGAGAAGGTGTTTGAATAATGTATCCTTATGACATGTTGAAAATGACCTCAGTCTTATTTGATCCGATCAACTTACACCATCTGACTGGCTAATGAACCTTACTTGACTTCCTATTGACTTCACACCTGAACATATGACCTGCGTGACCTTACCTGACCCGCCTCGGTGACCTCGACGTACTCAATACGGCCGCTGACGAGGTCTTGGCTGGGGTACTTGCCGAAGATCATGACCACCGCCCCAAACTGATCACTCCCAATTTCCTCCCCAAATTTGCCGTTGAAGCAAGATTGTGTCTGGAACTGACCTGAAGGAGGCGGCGAAGAAGCAACATGTTAGTGGATGGATGGTTCAGGGTTCAGTGGATGGAGGGTTTGGGGTTCAGTGATTGGAGGGTTCGGGGTTCAGTGGATGGGTTTAATACGTTCTAGATCTGTCAAAAGGAACCTTAAAACTGTAATCAGGAATGAAATTGATGATGAATTTGAAGCAAGTAGACAAGAGCAAACAGAAACAAGTCATTGTATTGTCTACTATGATGAGATGTATCGTAAAACATATTATGTCCCTCACACACACTCACCTGGGTTCCAATTTTCATCACATAGTTCAATGGTGTCTGTGAAGTCTGAGTTGATGGCTCCCCGGATCTTGATGTTTCTGGTGAGGAGACCAACCTCTGCACGGGTCTCCACAACACGTCCTCCAAGAGTCTGCTCCCGGGAGATGTGTTCGTACTCCAGCGCCTCCGTCAGGGTGATGGTACGGCCGTCCCCTGATACGGTGTCAATGGTTCGTACCTCATTCTCGTTTTTCATGAATCTTTGAGTGATGGAGAGACGATGTTAATATTGTTGTTGTTGTTATGAGAAAAAAAATGGCTTTTATCATTATTATTAACCCAAAAGTCAACACTAATTATTTTTTCTCGCATCTGTTGAAAGCGTCAAGTCATGAAGGACAGTGAGCGACTCTAAACTGACTCTAAACTGATTTAGTCACTTAAAGGTAACAGTGAGGAACAGTTACCAGGTGACCAACAGTGACACCAACATAACCAGTGACTCCGGAAGGTTAATGTCAGGTTTATGTAAGTTCGTCCCATTTTCTAGTAGTTGTGTTAATAGGAATTATGTCACTAAGCAGCAGCAGCAGCAGCAGCACGATCGGGTAGGATGGGTCAGTATTAATTTATTAAGACCAGCCTGAGGTATAATATGGAACTTTATAAATAACAGCAATACTATGAGACAACCGACCCCTTGAACTCCTCTTGCCAGCTCCCCTCCTCCCTCCCCCCTTCATCCCCTCCTCACCTCCTCTCAGTAGTGGCTATGACAATCTGGTCTCCAGCCTTCCAGGTGACCGGTTGTTTGAGGGTGATGGAAGTGTCTCCAGGTGATGCCTCGGAGGCCAGGTGTGTCCAGGTAACAGGTACAGGAGCCCCGTGGAGCTCTAGACTTCCTTCACGGACTGCCAGAACCTGAGGAAAAAGAACCTCGGTCAGTACGTTCATAAAAAATAAATATACCAATTATATCCAGCCCCTCCTAACCACCCTCCCCCCCCATGGTATAGTTCCTGTCGTACTTTATCACTATTTACTTCCTTCATTCCTCTTCTCTCCTATAACTCTCAGATCTCTCAAGTCCTCCTCACCAGCCACACAGCTTACGTCTCTCATACCTTAAATATGGCCGGGTCACATGTTGGTTATGTTACCCTTCATAGGATGCTGTCATGGCTGCCTTTCTACACCCACCAGAGTGTTCAGTGGAAAAGAAAATGGTAAATGACCCTCAGACACTTCTATAGACTGCCAATAAAAGTTCCTCTCCTGATCATCTCCTTTTAGACGGTAAGGAAAGGACTTCTATTGACCTTAGACAGTAGATAGAATCTTAGACGACTTACAGAAGGTCCTAGTCACCATCGACCCAGACGGTAGGTAAAAGACTCCTCCCTGACCTTAGCACCGTAGTGAGGTAGTTCGGTGGACTTGGTGTTGCCGTGGAGCTCTATGGTAGCCTGGCCTAGGTAAGGGTCGTCCTCGGAGCCCACGTTGAGAGAGCCGCCCTCCACGATCAGGATGTACTCAGCCTTCAGTGTGATCTCGCTCTGGGCCTCTTGGTCGAATACCACGTGTCCTCCTGAAGGCGATGACGGAGGAGGTTAGTTTAGGTTAATCCATGTCAAGTTAGGTTAAATTAAGCCAGGTTAGGTTACATTAGGACTTATTTAAGAAATATAACCCTCACCCTTGATCAGCAACATCTTAAGAACCTCGGTAGACTGGTCCATTAGGATGGTCTGGCCCTCCTCAATGACCACCAGCTGGCCCTCAGATGGCACTGGTCCTCCTCCCCACGTATAGATTGAGCTCCAGCGGTCAATGTAGAAGAAGGTGCCATCGTTGCCCTGGGGATGAGATGTGAGAGTAAGGAAGAGGGAGAAGAGGACTACCTAACTCCTACATGGATTCAGGAGTCCTATTGTGTATGAACCTCTGTCCTATGTGGCAGTGATCAGGGAATCTACTCGAGTCTTGCCAGTTGTTAAATATATCAAAACACAAAACAAACAACTGACCGTGCTAGTAGAGAGGCCGTTGGAGGGGACGTCGACGAGGACAGGGAAGTACCCGGGTCCCTGGTGGGCCTCCGTCGTGCAGGTAATCTGTGAGGTAGTCTCTGTATTCACCACACACTCCGACCCTCCGATGGTCACCTTGTTGCCGCTGGCTCTGTCCAAACCACCACAACACCAAAGGTAAATATGGGTCTATTGTTGACGTCTCTCTCTCTCTCTCTTCCTACTTAAGCTACCCTCTCTTTCTCTCCTCTTCCCCTTGTCTCTTCTTGCCCCTCCTCTATCTCCCTCTCTCCAATACAATCCTGAGGAATGTTTCGGATCAATTGTTCGAGAAAGGTTCAATATAAAGGTTCCAAGCAGAGGTTCAGAATAAGACAGTGACTCCTAACGATACTTCCACCCAGACGATTATATTGGAACTTACGCAAAGCCAGTGCCAGTGATAGTGAGGAGAGTGCCACCTGCAGTACCACCTCTAACGGGGGAGATGGCAGTGACGACGGGGGTGAGGGAGGCGTCGTAGGTGAAACTGTTTGTGAGGGTGTTGGTCGAACCGTCGGGATTAGTTACCACAATGTCGCAGGTCTTGGTGCCGCTGCCATCTGGTGGAGGAGGAGAGAGTTAGTCCGTGTGTCAACGAAGCTAAATACAACATTAACGGAATCGAACACCTGTAGGGGAGGGGAGTTGAGACAGCAATGACGTCACACATGTAAATAAACAAAGACACGTGGTAGGATAGAGGAATTATGTGGTGGAATGAGTTGATGACTGTAGAGTGTTAGTGTTTGAGGATCTCCAATAGGACTGTCAAGAGGTGTTAACTGACGACAGACTGTATGACTGTATCTAGATATAAGAACTGACTGTTACTAAAAATATCTGTGAGAATTGACTGTCCACAAACCTGAACTACCAATTTAAGATTCTATCAACAACTCTCAACTGAATTCTATCTAAGAGCTAACTGATCAACTGAGAGTCAACTTACCATCCACTATAGCGGGGGCAACGCACACGAGGGTGGTAGAGGAGTTGAAGTTAACGGGGTCACAAAGTTCACCACAGAAGGTCACTCTAGAGCCTCCTGAGGGGTCAAATCCTTCCCCAGTCACTGTGACCTCTGACCCACCGAAACTTCCTGTGGGTGAGAGACAGGTCAATAAGGTCATACATACACACATACATACATACATACATACATACAAACATACATACATACACTGACCTGTGCTGGGGGTCACGGAGGTCGCACTGAAGACGTAGGAGACAGTGACCTCGTTTGAGTCACCATAAGTAGAGTCCCTGACGATGACCCCGTGTGACCCTCCCACTAGGTCAGGGGTCTGGAGGAGAGAGAGAGAGAGAAAGAGAGATGTTATAATGCTCTTCTATCAATAAAACAAAGTATTCAGAAGGTAATGAACAAATATAATCTCTCTATCTATCTATCACACACACACAACCAAGGGAGAAGTATTCAGTGTGTACTTACGGTGCAAGTGACAGCTGTAAGGGAGGCAGTGATGACGGTGCAGGAAGTGCCATCCACCAGGACCTCGGGGGTAGTGCCAGAGGGCTGGAGGTTAGCGCCCTCTAAGGTCAAAGTCGTCCCTGGGGTCACGCCCGTGGAGGGTCTGTGAGGAGAGAGGGATGGTGGTGAGAGAGAGAGAGAGCAGGCTGTGTTATGCCTCAATAAGTCACCAGGAATCAACAGACATTGTCAACACAGATGGCCAAGACTCACGTGATGGAGGTAAGACCGGGCGTCTTGGTGTCGTCGTAGGTGAAGGTCGGGGGAGGACTGACGGAGGCGGTGCCGGAGGTGATGGTGACGGACACGGTGCCGGCGGTGTGGGCGGAGGTGCGGCAGGTGAGAGAGGTGGTCGTCTCTGTCTCCAGGTGACACACAGCACCGTCCAGAGTCACGCTCACCTCCCCGGGGTTGAAGCCTGTGCCTGCGATGGTCAGAAGGGCGCCGCCGTGGACACTGCCCTCGGCCGGAGTCAGGGAGGTCACTTCGGGGGCCACGGTGACCTGAGATGCAGCAGAGTCAACAGAAGCGTCGCCAAGACCCTCTATGGCGACGGTGATGTCATAATTGCCTGCAGGGATGCCAGGGGCGTCGCAGATGATGGTAGTGTCGGTGACGGAGGTGGGTGAGCAGTCATAGGAGGGAAGTGGGTCCGCCTGTCGCTTTACTCGAGTTACTCGTGCCAGGTGGTCGTCAGGAGAGTCTAGCGTGGCACGGTTGGTGCCGCCAACACGCCAGGCTCCCAGCTTCTTGGTCTCGGTGAACGTCCTCCCGGAGGTCTTTGTGAAGTGACCCCAGAAGGCCGAGTTGGCGTCCATCTTGTCGAAGAGGTGAGACTGGACCTTAGGACGGTAGGAGCTGCGGGTTTCTTCTGCGTCCTCGTCGTAAACACCCACCTCGTCGTCAATCAACACGTCCTCCTCTCTAGGCACATCCTCCTCCTCCTCCTCCTCCTCCTCCTCCACCTCTTCCTCCATACTTCTCCTTCGTCTTCCAGCCACGGGGTTGAGAGTGACAGTGACCTTGGCGTCGTCAGTGCCAAACTTCAACCCGGTGATGGTAATGGAGTCACCTGAGACACTCACCCCGCTCACGGTGGGTGTGGCTGCCTCGGTGAAGCTGAAGGTGGAGTCTGACACGTCGCTCACTGCCTCTACCTGTAGGAGGGAAGACCTTTGTTACAGCCAACTGTCTTGTTACCTCTGTCTCTCTGTCTATCGCCTTACTGTCTATTTGTTTCGTTATCTCTACCTATTTTTGCATGTATGTAAGTCTCCCCTCTGCAAGACTTTGACATTCACTTAACCCTCTAGTAGGACTCCAAGGCTGTCTAGATCCTACGTAGGACTATACTTTTCCTGTCCTCAACTAAAGGATCCTGGGGGGTTCTAAATCCCCATAAGGCTCTAAAACCTCCCTAGACCTCATATAGGATACTCAAGGATCTCCCAATTCTTCTTATAAGGATCCCAAGAGCCAGGAAGTAAAGATATCCTACCCCTGAAACGTAGACGGAGAGGGGGACGGTAGAGGCAGCAGTAGGGATGGTAGTACAGGTGATGGTTGTGGCACTGATGCTGGTCACCTGGCACTCTACGGCACCCAACCTCACTGATGCCACCCCATTATAGCCCTTAAGACCAGTACCTGTGTAAAAGGTGAGATAAGAAAATACCTGTTAATGAAGAGAAGAAATTACTTGTTCTTCACCTGTAATTATCAACATCTATTGTCATTAACACCTGTATGACGTGTTTATAATGTACAGGTGTTACATACCGGTAATAGTGATGGTAGTTCCCCCAGCTACTGACCCCTCCGTCGGTTCAAATGAGGTCACCACAGGTACCACCGTGACCTGACCTTCGCTCTTGAAGTTGACAATGTTGGTGAGAGAGTTGCCCCTGAGGAGGTGTGACTTAGTGTTACTTAAGATAGGTGTTATTTAGTGCTACTTATCAAAGGGTTAAGTTAATATTGCTTTATTTTCAAGGTAGATTATTTTTTCTTTCGTTTCCGTTTAGTAGAATTATTTCATTTGATCAAACAGGTAAACGGACAGACATGTAGACAGGCAGACAGACAGACACTCACCTGTTCAGCACGGTGACCAGGACGGGATAAGGGCGGACAGAGAGGATGTTCTGCAGGTCGTCGAGGACACAAGTGACGGAGTCGTTGGAGGAGGCGCTGACGGTGCAGGAGGCAGGACCCACTGTTACTAAAGTCTGGCAGGGGGAGGCACCGAACCCTTCTCCTTCTATAGTCAGTGTCACCCCGGACCTTACCTGTATGGCACTGTGGAGAGGGAAGGAAGGAAGGAAAGAAGGAAGGAAAGAAGGAAGGAAGGAAGGAAGGAAGGAAAGAAGGGAGTTAATTTTATTCATAGTTTCATAGTTTAGGAATTTTTCATTTTGGTCAGGTGAAATAAACTGAAGTGTCTAAACTTCAGGTGAGCTACACAACCAAAACAACACTCTATCTTACCTAACCCCGACAACACTCTCGGTACCGCTGGCAGTAAGTCGGGTAACAACAGGTGTGAAACAGGTGTCGCTGACGAAGTACAGGTGTTCTGCGTCGGGTGGTGAAGGCGCCGTAGAGGTACAGCCGTTCAGAGGCTCAAGCAGGATTGGGACGCATCCGTTCACTGTGACGACCACACCTGTATCGGGGAGGCACAGGTGTTAGGGTGATGAGTGAGTGATCATGTAGAGGAGAGGGGAAGAAGGAGGAAGGAAGAGGAGGAATGGTAGAAGGAAGAGAAGAAGAACGAGGAACAGGAGAAGGAGAAGGAACAAGAGAACGGACGAAGACAAGGGGGGAAATGAGGAGGAGAAGGAGGGAAAGAAGAAAGGATAAAGGAAGAAGAGGAGGAAAAGAAGAGAAGGAGGAGACACGAAATATTTCACACTTGCACAAGAGAAAGAAGCAGACAGACAGACAAACAGACAGACAGACAGACCTTGACCCACTTCACCCTAACTCACCATCACCACTGGGGTTAAACTCGGCCGCGACGCCTCCGAGGGTGAGTGTAACCTTGTAGATGTGATTCTCGGGCTTCACCACGTTGATCTGACCACTCATGACCAGTTTGTCGGACACGGGGTCACCAGCGTAGTAGTAGGTGCCCTCGTGAGGGAAGTACACGGTCATGGAACCTGGGCAGGAGACGAGAGTACATGTAAACTGGTGATAAACAAGGGTGTAGACACAAGCTATACGCACACACACACACACACACACACACACACACACCTGTAAACACAAGAGGTATACAAACACACACATCGGCAGAACCCTTGTGAAACTTTCCTCGTGTCGTACGTGGACCAATCAGGTGTATTGTCACATCAGAAAGTGAGAACATCAACTATGACCTCCCGTGACCCCTGTAACCTCATTTACTCTTCCTGTGACCTCCCGTAACCTCCTATGATATCGTATGACCCCCATGTGACCTATTTTAACCTTCTGTGACCCTCTGTAACCTTTTTTAGCTTCCCCGTGACCCCCTGTGATATCATTTAACCTCCTGTGACCCCCCCAATGACCTCTGGGTACTACTAACCTGCAGGAGTTGGGGAGCCGGAGTGGAAGCCGGAGCCGTCGTAGGTGAAGGAGGTCGAGGAGACGGATTGGAAGATGTTGTGCCGTAGAATGGAGAACTCGTCCTTCTTATTCCATTGCCACGTCATGCTGTCCCCCTCACGAGCCTCAACTAAACGGGGACTCCAAGCGAACCCAACGCCATAGCCTGTCACGGTACACACACATAGGTTATAGAAATACACACACACACACATAGGAATCGTTCGCCAGGATTTGTGTTCACATATAAGCCACATCTGTCATTCGCTGAGGGACGTTTACTTGTACACGGAACGAACTACTGAGGATTGCTACTGGGTGTTCGTTCGTTCGTTCCAGTTAAAGATCAGAAGGTGTTGAGGGGAGAGATGTTTATTTAGTTGATCATCAAGACAGTCATGATCACAACAGTCATCACTAGTTACAGTTACAGTCACTATTATCTACAGTCATCACCACTCAGCCACCACCACTCACAGTCATCATCATTTATATTCATCACCACTTACAGTCACCACCATTTACAGTCATCACCATTTACAGTCATCACTTACAGTCATCACAGTCACCACTTACTTGGATCGGTGCCCATGTTAGTAACGACGTGATTGACTGGGGTGAGGAGGACGGCACAAGTGACCTCTGTATCAGAACAGTCCGTGACCTCACACTTGGCACTATCCCCGAGGTCAACTTCTAATAAGGAACAGTTGGTGCCAAAGCCCTGACCCTTCAAGACCACAATGGTACCACCGTTGACTGACCCCTTGAGTACCGATGACCCCGTGATTACCAGGGTATAGGTCACCGATACGTCACCACTGTAGGGAAGAAAGGTCAAAAGAGGTCAGAGGTCAACGTCTGTACTTAAATTCTCCTTCATATGACTTTCGACCATAAGAAACCCTCAACTCCATTGTAAACACAGGCATAGGTTCTCACTAAGATCTAATCACCATTGTAAACAAGATACATATTGCCAACAAGGCCTCCTCACCATTGTAAGTAAATCCACGTATTCCCATTGATGTCTGAGCACCAATGTAAACAAACCCACATGTTCTCGTAGACATCTGAGCACCAATATAAACAAACCCACGTGTTCTCATAGATGTCTGAGCACCAATGTAAACACCAGCACGTCTTCCTAGGAGCAGGTGTAAGGGAAGGAAGACCTACCTGGCGAAGCCCTGGGCACCTGTGTAGACGGTGACGGGGTAGAGACCAGGTGTCAGGGTTGGAGAGGTACAGGTGATGGTCGTCTCATCCCACGACACCACCTCACATGTTGATGACCCGACCTGTACACGAGAGAGGATTTTAGACAGGTAGATAGATGGATAGACAGATAGATAGATAAATAGGCAGATAAATGAATAGATAGATGGATAGACAGATAGATATATGGATAGGCAGATAGATAGATATATGGATAAACAGATAGATAGATGGTGAGGTGGATTAATGAACAGACGTCAACAAGGTAAAATAAAGGTAAAACTAATTAGCTAACTCATAAACTCACCTTAACATAACCATTAGTGTCAGATCCAAAAGATGACCCTGAGATAACCAACTCTTGACCTCCTATGAAAAAAAAGAGTAAATAAACAAATGAATAACGATATGCGTAGATAAACAAAGAAAATTAATATATAAATGTTATAAACTGGATACGTAGATATGTGAAGAAATTAATAAATAAATAGTGACCTCCAATTGATCTTTTAGTAGTAGTGACCTTTGACCTTTGCTAATGAGGTTAATAAAATGTGTACATGTCTTAGGTAATAATGTATGTTTTCTGTGTACATATCGGGGAGGGTCATGTATACATGTTCATGAAAGTGTACGTGTGAGGTGATTGTGTACATATGATTACTCACCTGTCACCGAGAGAACAGAGGGAGAGGCGGAGGTGAGAGAAGCCGAGAGGGAGGCGTCGTAGGTGAAGGAGCCCGACAGAGTGGCTGAGAGAGACCCCACCGTTACCACCACGTCCACCACACTCGCCTCCTGATGGTGTAGCAGTAGAAGGAGGAGGATAAAGAGGGGAGTCACATGTCAGTTATGTATGTCAGATTCAACACGTCAGCCACAGAACGTCAGCCACAGAACGTCAGACACACATCGTCAGCCATTCATAACTCAATTCATACACCAACTCACCGCGGCTGAAACCAAACAGGTGATAGATACACCGTCAGCGTCTCCTACAGGTACACATTCGGCTCCACCCAGCATCACCACTCCGTCCCAGGAACTAGTCGACGATGAAGGGAACCCTGTACCTGAGATCACCACAGTATAGCCTCCACCAGTACCTCCTGTAGTAGGGGTGATGGCGCTGACGGTGAGGGGGACGGTGTAGGTGGTGGCAGCTCGGGAGGAGGTCAGTGCCGCTCCTATGGGCTGCATAGTTAAGGTGACGTCGTGTTCCCCGGCGTGTAGCTTGACGGTACACGTTACCTGAGGGAGGTGTGGTAATTAGGAATACCTGTAACTGTATAACCCAAAAGACAGTCATTATGTACCCCTGTGTGTGTCTGTCAATGAGAACAAACACGTGTCTGTCTGTACGTAAGTTGTGTGTTGCGGAGTGACGTACCTGGGTGGGCGTCACGGTCGTTACGGTACACTCGTTGCCTCCCAGTGTGACGCGGTAGTCGCTCGTGACGGTACTTGTGAAACCTGAGCCCGTCACCGTGATGGTGTAAACACCTGTCCCATCTGTGGACGGGAGACGCACCTGTAACACCTGTACCTTAACACCTTTAATTACTGTATCTATGATCCTTAACACCTGTAGCACCTGTCCTTGAGACCCATAACGCCTGTAATAAGTACTCTGGGAGGTACTTACCAAGAAACATAAGACAGGAAAGTACTCTAGTGGTACTTACCGACACTACCAGAGACAGTAGACATGGTAGGGGTGAGAGAATCATCATAGGTGAGGGAACAATCACCGAGACAGGCGGCCGTGTACTTGTTGACTGTCACCACAACCTGTCAGACCACAACACAGAGGGTTAGGTACAACCAACCAATCATCACATGCCACGTCACCACCCTCTTATACAACCAACCAATCATCACATGCCACGTCATCATCCTCTCGTCCAACCAACCAACCAATACATGCTACGTCATCACCCTCTCGTTTAACACAGCCGATCATCACATGCCACGTCATCACCTTCTCGTACAACCAACCAATCAGAGATGGACTTACCTGTGGTTCCTCCCGCCAAGTGGTAAGGAAGTCAACATGGAGAGTATCGTGCCATATTTTACCTTCGCCCGTCCTCTTTATCTCCACTTCCAATGTTTCCCTGACAAGAGACGGAGAGGCTGATAAGCACTTGATAGAAAATTAAACATACCACCCCCTTAAATCCCCCTTTAGACGCCCATTTCCCACCATTTGATTCCTTTTCCCACCCCTTTCCTACCCCTTAACCCTTCTCCCCCTTCAGACTAACCCCTCAATACCCCTTACAACCCATTTCCCACCCCTTAAAACTCCCTTCAGACTAACACCTACCCATCAAACACCAGTCCAGTATCCTCCACTTCGACGAGGTCCTTCATGCCGGGGTCATCAAGCCATTCGAGCTGATAGGATCGCTTGTAGCAGGTGCCGGAGCTACTGACAGCGACTCTGCCTCCACCCAGCCCCGTCTCGATCTTTGTACTTAACTCCTGTTCGTCCACCGTCGATGAAATACCTGTAGAAGAGGGTCGTGGAGTCGTGTGTTACAGCGTTGGTACTGCAGAAGGAGGAGGTGGAGAGAGGAGTGGGAGGCGTGTGAGAGGGGCGTAAGAGGGACGTGTGTGAGAGAGGCGTGTGAGAGGGACGTGTGTGTGAGGGACGTGTGTGTGAGAGATGTGTGTGTGAGGGACGTGTGTGTAAGAGAGGCGTGTGAGAGGGGCGTGTGAGAGGGGCGTGTGAGAGGGGCGTGTGTGAGAGATGTAAGTGAGAGAGTTTTATAGGGTAGAGTAAGAGCAAAAACGGGAATAATAAACTAATAATAACACGATGACATGAACCAAGAGAGAACAAGATGGACTCACCTGCTATAGTCTTGCCCTGAATGAGAAGATCCCAAGTCCCTCCTACAGAGTGAGTGGCCACAACTTGCCTGTTCACTGTCACCTGCCCGACCCCTACCTCGAAGCTGGCACTGTCGGTAATGGCCAGTTCCGTAAGCCAAGATGTGTTCACTGTTGACATTAAAAAAAAGGAACAGTGTCGATTTTAGAGGGAAGTGATTGAGAGAGAGTAGGTGTTTATTAGAAAGTAAACACAAGTACTTTCCATCCAGGAGAGTACGATCAGAAAGTAGCACAGTCACTTTTCATCTTAGACAGTGATTCACCTTCCACCTAACCACTAATAATAAGAAAGTAACAGAGACACTTTCCACCCAGGGCAGTAGAGTCACTCACCAGAGCCAGAAAAGACGCCGAGGAGAGGGAAGTCCCCGGCACAGTTAGAGGTGATGAAGCTGACGTCGTAAGAATTGTTGACACCTTCTACAGGAGCCGCTTCCACCTCCGTCACCAGGATCCCCAGAGATTTGAGGGCTGAGGGGCGCCTTTGTACCACTGTGAGGGAGTGAAGTGTTGCTGGTCAGTGTGTGAGAGAGAGAGAGAGAGAGGGGGGAGGGGACCAAGTAATGCATCTATAACACTGTGTGGGAGTGAATTTACGCTGGTTAGAGAGAGAGAGAGAGAGAGAGAGAGAGGGAGAGACAACTTACCAGTAATATCCAGGTCCACAAGGGCGAACTCGTCGACATAAACAGTATCAAGGGAGGTGCTGGGTTTAGGCGCCCACACGTGTTTCACCAGCAGCCTTTGACCGCTGATGTGTTGGTCCTTCATCCAGGAGTTGGCCACCACATCATGTAGGCTTAGACACTTGTACGTCCACCTATAAGAAACAACAACAACCTGTCAGTCCATCAACATCTGTCAATCCACCAACACCTGTCAGTCCACCAACGCCTGTCAATCCACCAACACCTGTATCCATAACTTACGTGACGGGTGTAGAGGTTATATTATGATTGAACCAAATAGTATCATCACGATTCCGGTTCCACTTGTCCTTCCAATAGAACCTGACCGACATCATACTCTCCACGTTCCCCCTGAGAGCTAGACACACCTGTGGGCCAAGAAACAGGTGTTCACGTCATACCTGGTCATAGATTCTTATTAAACAATATCAAAACACCTGCTTGGATGATATTTACACAGATTTAATAAACACCTGTTGGCTAATGTAAACAGAGGTGTATTCAGTGATACCAAAAGTGACCTACGTATTTGTATGTGTTAGCGTCGACCATCGTAGAGACGTCATTATTGTAGTAAAGTTGTGGGGAGTTCCTCCTGGTCTCCTGTACCACCCTGTAGGATACATAAAACATCCTTTAGTAATTCAGGACTTTGTTTTATATCAAGTTTAGGATATTTATAAGATGTTTGGGAGTCATCTATAAGCGTGGGGACTCTATATGTGAACTGAATGACTCGTTTAAGTGCTAGTGAGTCGAAATCCTTTATGCTTAGGTTAAATTGGGATCTGAGACGACTAGAGTGAAGTAGGATTGGAACCCATTCTGATTTATAGTTGCCACAGAACCTCCCTTCCCCCATCGTCCCCCAGCACCCACCTGCCGCAGAAACTCCCCCATCGTCCCCCAGCACCCACCTGCCGCAGAAAGGCTCTATCTCGTTGAAGGAATTGCCGTTGTCACCCGGAGGTTTCGTTTCCCATACTTCATATCCTGCCTGAAGACCGAACTTGGGACCGTCCCCTAGTACCTCACACAGCTGCTCCGTCATGTTCAGGAGGGCTTGTTTAACCTGAAGGAGGAGATGATAGGGGTCAGTGAGAGAGAGAGAGAGAGAGAGAGAGAGAGAGACAATGATATAATCAATACTTATTCCTGATAGTCTTACTCTCTGTCCATTTCAACAACAACTACTACTACTACTACTACTACTACTACTACTACTAGCACCACTACTAACACTACCACCACTATACCTCATTAGGATCCGAAACATTTAGGAGACTTGAAGTAACCCCTTGAAGGAAGAGCTTAGCGTTTCCTGGCTCGCCCTCCAAGGTCAGCCTCTGCGTCTCCCACCTAACACCGGCCTTGAACCTGACCTGCTGCCTCTCGTTGGATGCCATGTATGATTGAGAGCTGGTGAACTTTGCATTGAAGTCATTGAACATCAGCCTGAAGAAAGTGCTCTCTGAGGGGAAGGTGAGAACACAACAGGTGAGTTAATTTACAGGTGAGTTAATTTACAGGTGAGTTAATTTACAGGTGAGTTAATTTACAGGCGAGTTAATTTACAGGTGAGTTAATTTACAGGTGAGTTAATTTACAGGTGTTGGTAAAATCTAAACTTATTAACCTGTGTTGATATTCGTTTATTATTGTTATTGTTGTTATTATTGTTATTATTAAGACTACTATTACTTAATTATTAATTTATTGAGCATATATCTGACTTACTCAAAAGTTAGACAGTGTTTCGAGTCAGTGTTTCAAGTTATAGTGTTTCGATTCAGTGCTTCAAGTTACAGTGTTTCGAGTCAGTGTTTTAAGTTATAGTGTTTCGATTCAGTGTTTCGATTCAGTGTTTCAAGTTACAGTGTTTCGAGTCAGTGACTCAAGTTATAGTGTTTCGATTCAGTGTTTCAAGTTATAGTGTTTCGAGGTCTAAGAGCGATTCGAACATGCTTTATAAAGGGTTCAAATCAAATACAAAGTACCGAACACAATATAGAAAACAAGTATCATTTACCACGATTCGAACACAACTTAAAGGGGTCAAATACCACTTACCACTATTCGAACACTATTTAAAGGGGTCGAATACCACTTAACACGATTCGAACACTACTTAAAGGGGTCGAACATCACTTAACACGATCCGAACACTACTTTAAGGGATCGAATACCACTTAACACGATTCGAACACTACTTAAAGGGGTCGAACATACCTTCAGAATTAAAGATGATCTCCATGTAGGCAGGTGTGTCCTTCTGCAGGTAAAGATGCTGCCAGTGAGCCACGTTTGTCTGGCGAGAGAGAGAGAGAGTGAGTGAGGGAGAGAGAGGGAGGGAGGAAGGGAGAGTATGAGTGAGAGAGAGGGAGGGAAGGTTTGTGATTGAGGGAGGTGGAATAAGGGATAGGGCGAGTGAGAGTAAATATGAGTAAGGGAGGGAGGGAGAAAGGGAGACTAAGGGGCATTGAGAGTGAGTGAGAGAGAAAGAGTGAAAGAGAGAAAGAGAGACACACACACACACCTTATTGTCAGGGTTGCCATTTGTCGCTACATAGATGATTGACGCCTTGCCCAGTTGAACCCCTAGTGAGTACACACCATCGTGAGGTGCATGGATGTAACCTGTGTATGGAAGGTTAGGGTTTGGTTAGATACTGAGACTTTTTATAATTAGAATCATTTGCTTGTAATTTGTTAAGAGATTCTGAATTTCAGTATTTAGACGACCTCTGAATCATCTTAGCCAACTATCAATCAGCCTATCTACCTCTCAATCACATCAATCACCTTACCTCTGATCCTGCCAGTCGACGGGGCCTGTAGATTAATGTCAAAGCGAGTCTCTAGGGTGACGGATGACGTATAATTAGGGTGTGTGGATGTGAGGTTGTCCCAGTACGGTAGGTGAGCCAGGTTACTGAAGTACGCTCCCTCCCATAGCTCAAAGATCAGACCTCGTTCACCTGTCGTTAGGAGGAAAGACGATTAGGTCAGGTTAGGTTAGGTTTTTTAAAGGTTCATTGGTGTGTTATTATTAGGATTTTGTTTGTTTATTTACCTGAATATTAAATACCTTAACGCTACCAGAGGGACGGAGGTTAGGTTAGGTTAGGTTAGACGCTGAGGGTGTGTTTACCTGAGCCAGGGCCAGTCAGGTGTTGTGGTGGAGAGAGACAGGTGATGATCTCTCCCGTGATCTCCTGTAGCTCACACACTGCCCCGCCCACTCGCACCTGTCACACGCAACAAAAAAAGAGTAGATGAGTGACTGCTAACTGTCGCACATACACACATATTCTCTCTCTATCACACATACACACACACACACACACACACACACACACACACAACATACCTCAGTAGCGCCAAGGTTAGAGTCGAATCCTACGCCAGTGATGGTGAGAAGGGCGCCGCCCCCTGAGGAGCTGGTGTCAGGACTCACGCTCTCCACCGCTGCAGGAGAAACACCTCGATTAATGCTATGGGTACCCTTCCCTGGCTCCTCCCACTATCCCTCCCCCATTCCCTGGCTCCTCCTCCTTCCCCGCCCATCCCCCGACTCCTCCCACTATCCCTCCCCCATTCCCTGGCTCCTCCTCCTTCCCCGCCCATTTCTCCCAAGACCCCTCCCACTACCACCCCACCTCCCTCCCCCCAAGAGAAGTCGACGTCGAAACCCTTCACTCACCAGCATATGTGTGGTGCTGGAAGAGTCGATCCTGAGAGTCGACGCCCATACCCCACTTGGTCGAAGATGATGCCCCACGATCCGTTACATAGACACTGGTGTTCATGGGGCCGATGTAGGTACTGGTGACGAGGCAGTGGAGCTTCCTGGTGGAGGTGAGGGGGACGTAGAGCATCCCTGTGGTGGCGTTGACCATCTCACAGTCGACGCCGCCCATGTACACCCTGTAGGAGGAGGAGGAGGAGGAGGGGGGTGATGAAAGACAGACATACAGCGAAACAAACAGAGGTGAAGCAAGAAGCAGAGAAATAAAGAAGAGACAAACAGATAGAGAAGAAGAATGAACCAAAATAAATAACATACCAAATAAAATAAAGAAAATTAGATAATAACGTAAAAGAAAAATAATTAAAAAAACAAAACAGAAAGTACTCATTTTAACTCTCTCTCTCTCTCTCTCTCTCTCTCTCTACTCACTTGGTAATCACGGCGCCCTTGGATGGATCGCTGCTGGTGGGGTCCTCAGCATCAATCATGAGGTACTTGGTGGTATGTAAGTTACCTTGGTACTCGACCATAGCTCCAGGAAGTGACCAGGCAGGGATAACTCGGTCGATCACTGGCCCTCTCCATGATGCGTACTGGTGAGTGACAGAGAGGAAAGAGAATTACGTAGGTATCTTTCTGTCTATCTGTCTCTCTGTCTGTCTGTCTCTTTCTTTATGACATACACCCATACAGTCACTCTTCCTGGTACACACACACACACACACTCACCCCCTACACTCGTACCGCCTCAGTTACCACCCATAACCTAATTAGTTGACCGCTCTACCTGTGCTGTAACCATCTCACCTGTATGGCTGCTTTTGTTATTTATGGGACACCTGTATGGGACACCTGTATGAGACACCTGTATGTATTACGACATCTGCCCATCCCCATCTACCTGTCAACTGTGACCCTCATTACTAGGGCCCGGATAGTTATGCACTAAAAAACCATGAAATATGCATGCAAATATGCACTAAAAATGTCTGGTGGTGATTAGTAGTCAGCTGGGTGGTTAGGTAATACTGTACAGGTTTGAAATAAATCTCTCTCTCTTAATAATAATAATAATAATAATAATTAGCGGTTTATTGAAAGAGCTTGGCAGCCAGAAGGCTGAAAATATACAGTTACATATTTGGGGAATGGGTTACGAAATACAAATAATATACAAGTAACATAAGTGACACAAATAAGACATATAATAACTTAGATGGGGAAAAAGCTCAAACTACAGTTCATTTCAACATAGTGACAGTGTAAGGAGCAGTGTTTACTGGGAGTGAATACACTGATTTATTACAAGTTATTGATAATTTTTACACTACTTGTGTCTACAGCACCTACAGCTACCTGCACCCACCTACACCCCACCCACCCACCCCCACCCACCAACACCCACCTACACCCTACACCTACACCCCACCCCCACCCCCACCCCACCCACACCCCACCCTACCCACCCCACCCACCAAACCCACCTACACCCCACACACCTACACCCCACCCCACCCACCTACACCCACCCCCACCCACCCACCCCCCCACCCACCCCCACCCACCTACACCCACCTTCACCCCACCTACACCCTACCTACACCCACCTACACTTACCTCCACAGTAGCGTACCCTGTCGTCTCACTGCCATCCACATACACCTTGATGACATATACTCGAGAGGCACCCATGTTGGTCCTCCTCCTGTAAGTGGGAGGTCAGAGGTCATGGGTTAGTAGAAGGTCAGAGGCCATGGGTTAGTAAGAGGTTAGTAGTCAGGGATTAGTGGGAGGTCAGGGGCCATGGGTTAGTGGATGGTTAGTAGTCAGGGGTTAGTGGCAGGTCAGGGGCCATGGGTTACTGGGAGGTCAAGGGCCATGGGTTATTGGGAGGTCAAAGGTAATGGGTAATTAGAACCACTTAAAGACAATTTCCTTATGACCAACAAATTTCCATTAAATAAATTGACAAAAACACACACACAAAAATCTAATTATCAATAAAAATAATAATCTAATAGCTAATATAAGGAGCTATTTAATTATGCTATTTAATATAGAGATAGGAGAATTAAGGTGAATTAGGTGTAATTAAGTCCATATCTCACCTGGGGTATAATTTTAGGCTTCAGGTTCCAGGAATTATTTAGAGAACGGATCTAATTCTCTTTCTCCCTCCCTATTTCATTTCTCTCTACCCCTCTCTAACCTCCCTCTCCCTTCTCCTTTCCTCCCTATTCCCTTCTTACCACTCCCTATTCCCTATCTTCCCCCTTACACCATCCCTACCCCTTATCTAACCCTCCCTCTCCCTCTCACCCCCCCCCTCTCTCTCTCCTTACCTAGTATTACAGACGATCTTGTTAGTGTTGGACAGGTAGTTGATGACGTCACAGTTAATAGCGTCATGGTCGTTAACAAGTATGACCCTATTACCTAGAGTCGGGTCAAATTGGTTGAATTGGTCCTCGCTGAAGCCTGATAGATGGAGATTGAGGTAGATGGATAAATTCTACCATTATCATCATTTATTATCTATCATTAGTGTCATTATCTTTATCATTATCTATTTATCTATCATTATCAATCATTATCTATCATTATCTATCTTCACTATCTACTTACCAGAGCCAGTTATAGTCAGGGTTACACCACCGGAGTCACTTAGCCAATAAGGTGACCTGCCGGTGATCTGACCTCCTTCGGCCGCCCCTGTCAAAGGTCAAAGGTTATATCTCAGGTATATGTGATGATTACAGGTGTGTGATATGCTCAGGTGTGTTATATGGGTAGTAATTAAGGCTTGACAGGAAGGTGTGTCAAGGTACTCACCCAGCAGGAGGGCAGCCAGCAGCGCCCAACGCGTGTTCATTATTCTGCCTCACTTGGTCACCTGAGGCAGAGAAAACAGAGGGATTAGAGAGAGAGAAGAGAGAGGGGGAGAGAAAGAGAGAGATAAAAGAGAGAGAGAGAGAGAGAGAGGAACGAAAATAAACATCAACATCATTAATTAAATTCTCTTCGTATATAAATCATATAAATTACATAAACGTAATTTACCTCACATATAAGAACATAAGAATGGAGGAAACTGCAGCGGGTCATACTAGACAGTCCTGTTTACACCCAACTCGTATTGCTCATATATCCATCCAACCTGTGTTTGAAGCTATCCAGTGTATTCGAGTTAATGATGATATTTGGTAACTTGTTCCACTCGTCCACTACTCTATTTCCAAACCAATGTTTACCTATCTTGCGCCTAAATCTAAATTTGTCTAATTTAAAACCATTGTTACGAGTTCGCTCCTGGTTGGATAGTTTGATTACCTTTGTAATGTCCCCTTTGTTTAGCCCTGACTTCCATTTATACACCTCGATCATATCGCCCCTCACTCTACGTCTCTCGAGGGAGTGCAAATTAAGATATTTTAACCTGTCTCTGTACTCGAATTTCCTAATGCCCGGGATTAGTCTTGTCATTCTTCTCTGAATTCTTTCTAGGGATTCTATATCCATTCTGTAATAAGGAATCCAAGTGAGATCTCATAAGCGTAAGATATATATTTACCACCTTATTTAAATTACCTCATAGATATTTCCTATATAAATTCCATCATGTTGTAATGGCCACTTATAAACTACTTGGTATATAAGCTCCTCGAATATGAGATACCTGAGAGATGACTTGATGGATACCTGTAAGTAATTAGTATAGGTAATTATATTACAGGTGTGGCTACAGGTGTTGTGGTTTATCGATGGTCACCCCCCTACAACACACACACACACACACACACACGTTTCTTAACAATTTAACCTTAGAATATAATAATTATCACTATTCATTAATTAGCCGTATCAAGTAGCGTTTTTGAGCATAAATCACTAATACTAATTAATTCATCTTTACATTTAAGTAATTTTAGCTATTACATTTATTAATTATCACTAAATCATTATATTTCCTCTACTAAACACGGAAAAGAAAAAAAAATCCTAATATTTATAGAGATTAGAATTCGCCATCTTTATTTACGTCGTCTGAACGCACCCAGGTTAATCAAAACAAAGTCACGGAACGCGCCAATGTTTGTAAACAGAGGATATGTGTGAGGGTGTGAGTGAGAGCTATCAGGAGGGAGAGAGTGCGTGTGTGTGAGAGGGAAGGAAAGGAGAGAGTGCGTGTGTGTGAGAGGGAAGGAAAGGAGAGAGTGTGTGTGTGTGAGAGGGAAGGAAAGGAGAGAGAGTGTGTGTGTGAGAGGGAAGGAAAGGAGAGAGTGTGTGTGTGAGGGGTAGAAAGTGAGAGGTACTGTGAATGGGAGAAAGTAGAATGAAGGAGAAGAATTAACAGGAGAACGAGAGAGAGAAAGAAACAAACAGATAGATATGAAGATAGAGACAGAAAAAAACAGACAGACACACAGGCAGACAGTAAGAAAGAGAATAGACGTCGACAGACAGACTCAGACAGATAGACAGAGACACAGATAGATTCCAATTTCACCTTACCTCTGTGACTCAGTGAAGAGATCTGTGCCACTCCAGGTAGAGACACCACCTTAAATACCCATCTGAATCACCCCCACCCCCACCCCCCTACAACCCCCCTCCACCTCCCTTCACACGTACAGCCTCCCCTAACCTCCATTACCTCCTCTTTCTCCCTACACCTCACCTCCCCCACCCTACACCCCCTCCCAACCTACATCTAGTGATTAATGGACTTGCTTACGTAAAAAACCATATATATATATATATATATATATATATATATATATATATATATATATATATATATATATATATATATATATATATATATATATATATATATATATATATATATATATATATATATATATATATATATATATATATATATATATATATATATTTTTTTTTTTTTTTTTAAATGGTTGACGTTAATGTATATTTTTCCAATAGGGATTATATAAAGGTCATGTTTTAATGTGGATTATAATACCACTAAATTTTTTCTATGATACGCGGAGAATATTTTAACCTTAGGGGCTATAGATTTTTGGAAATATTGTTTATTTTTTTATTTATTTTTTGTGTATTTATTTATTATTATTATTATTATCGAGATCACAACACCACATTATACCTAAATTCACCACTACGTGACCCTGAAATAATATATCACCTCCTCCCCCCCCTCTCTCTCCCAGGTGTTACAGAACTCTCACTCTTTATGCGACAACATGTCTTAGTATCCAATTGCAACACTAGGAAAAACTATACTATGTTGCTGAGTAATTCATCCCAATATCCACCTATAATGACTGACTGATAATGTTTTACCACTTGAGAGAGAATTTTGTTTTGTTTTGAATAAGTGTTGTTATAATGGCTGCCAGACATATGATCACCCCTCACTAACGGCCAGCTTTGTTTTGTTCCTGGTCTTGTTTATTATTGCTTAAGGGAAATTGGTTGGTTAATATGTTTCTCGGATCACCTGTAGGTTCTCTCACCCTCCAACCACCCTCAGCTTATTTCACCTTAAGATTAACCTAACCTAACCTAACTTGACCCAAACATAGCATAAAAGTGAATATTTACACAAGTATTTCAGACTGTGTGTGTGTGTGTGTGTGTGTGTGTGGTGGTGGTGGTGGTAGCTATAGCGCAGGAGGTGGGCGCCTCGAACTGGCTAACAACGTTACCGATAAGGGTTAAATGGTTTCAGTCTTAATAAACAAGAATTTACAGATGCCATTACTCTAAGGTACGGTGGCCAGTAGAAGGTTTGCCGTCCCTATGCGGGTGTGGCTCATCCTACGACATAAACTACGCCATGTTGTGTAAGAAAGGGGGGCTTTGTGTGCATCAAGAAGTGAATCCAGGAAAAAAGTTACAAGAACAAAACTCAGAAAAAAAGTCACAGAAAAAAAGGTAAAAAAAAATAGCCTAACCTAACGTACGTGTAATGCTATAATATGTAAATTGTGCTGTCAGTGTGTACAAGTCATATATTGTCAGTTAATAAGTTACTTAAAATATTTTTTTTGCTTCATTACTTTAACTGTTAATTATATATAAATAAAATATTACTTTTTTCCTATGACTTTTTTCCTCGACAAAATTTTAAATTTTTCCTGTGTCTTTATTTCCGTTCACCGACGAAGTAAGGGATGTCACAGCAAATATACTGAAGGAAATCTGCCACGACATCACGGTGGAACCGCCCCTCCTGCCACTGGACGGTGAGAACCTCCATCACAGGACTTCAAACACATCAAACGAAACCCGTGTGGACGTCAACGGACGTCAACTCTCAAGGATTCTGGACACCTTCTTTGACATTAGGATATTCGACCCCATGGCCGCATGTCACCATAACCTACCTCTCGAGGCTGCACTCAAGAGAATGACAAGATCAGGGTGTAAGAGAGAGAATTCAGTATGTGGATCACGGCAGCTTCACTCCTCTGGTGTTCGGCAAGACTGGCCGAGGTATTATCTGAACGGAAGCAGCAGCCTAGAAGCCACGTTGCAGCCTGGTTGAGATGTCGACTGAGCTTCCTGCTTAGGTCTGCATTTCTTTGCCTCAGGGGAACGAGATCTTCGGTCCCAAAGTCCACAACAATCGCAGATATCGACTATGAGGCAACAGTCACTGAATAAATCTGCTTCTTAACTAACTCAACACAGCTAGGGTAACTACTTTTGCATTAGGATATTTAATGTTAGGGTAATAAAATGGCGGCGAAGGTGTGGCTATTGGGGGAGACTGGAGGAAACACTAATAAAAATAAAGTAGTAGTAGTAATTATAATATGACCATTATAGTTTGCATCATTAATATCATCATAACCACATCACCATCATTATCAACATTATCATAATCACAACCCCAAACTAACCTAACTTCTCCATAGTGTGACCCTGCATTAATAGGGCTACTCCCCCTACCCACCCCACCTGGAGGTTACTTAACTACTTAACTAACTCGGAATTTATGCCGCCAACGTAGACATGAACCACTTAACGATGCGTATGGTGCACTCTCTAGTCTATTGAATAATTTTATATTAATCGTATTCGTCAAAGAGATTTTAAAATGTGTTAGATGGATCGCATATCAATTAAATATGACCTTTGTGACTCGAGTGGTCTAATGTGGTCGTAATCTATAAGCGACTTGATGGGGTTTTGTGGGATGAGATTCTCTTTAAAGGCGATCAGTTGGTGTTTCTGGAGGTCAGATGCTTCTCCTGTAGTATTAGTGTTGTTGTTATACTGTATCACAGGGGTTATCAACCAGGGGGGAATTCCCCCCAGGGGGGGAATTCAGGTTTTCAGAAACTGATTCGGGAGCAAGAGATATGTTCGATGAGAAATCAATCACAGAATTTTGGCCTTGATGTGCGATTCCTACCCAAAAGTGGCAGAAAGAGCTATCCGTGCATTGCTTCCGTTTGTGTCGACATATCTTTGTGAGTCAGGCTTTTCAACTCTGTTGCAAATTAAAACGAAGCAACGTAGTAGATTAGAGGTAGAAAATGACCTGCGTTGTGCCCTTTCAAGCACTCCTCCGCGTATCCCAGAATTGGCGAAGAAAAAACAATCACAGGTTTCTCATTGACTGTAATCTTCATCTGAATAAAATTAATTACAAATTTACAATATCCTGGTATTCTATTGAACTTTTTGTTTATTGCATTATGCTTCAGTTTGGTCTGTTAAGTAATTCATTATAAATAAAAAAAAAACTATTTTACTTTTATTCAAGTTTTATAAATCCATCAACATTTTCAATTGACATTTAATTTGTAAAACTCCACTATAAAAATAATCCATGTAAAATTGTAAATGTATATGTACTAATATGGAAAAAATAAAGGATTTTCAGTATTATATTCATATTATTTGGAATGCACTTTTTGAGGCAGACAATCTTGGAAAGGAGGGGGAATGACATTCTGACATATGGTGAAAGGGGTGCATGGGGCAAACAAGGTTGAGAACCACTGCTGTATCAGATCAGTACTACTTTAATACTGATCATTCTTACAGGTTAATGGCCTTAATGCTGATCATTCTTTCAGGTTAAATGGCCTTAATACTGATCATTCTTACAGGTTAAATGGCTTTAATACTGATCATTCTTACAGGTTAAATGGCCTTAATACTGATAATTCTTACAGGTTAAATATCCTTAATACTGATCATTCTTGGGAGTTAGATGTATCTGTGTGTGTGTGTGTAATAATAATAATAATAATAATAATAATAATTAACGGTTTATTGAAAGAGCTTGGCAGCCAGAAGGCTGAAAATATACAGTTACATATTTGGGGAATGGGTTACGAATTACAAATAATATACAAGTGACATAAGTGACACAAACAAGACATATAATAACTTAGATGGGGATCAGCTCAAACTACAGTTCATTTCAACATAGTGACAGTGTAAGGAGCAGTGTTTACTGTGTGTCTGCGTCTGTGTGTGTGTTTTAGGTTATTGGTGATAGGGGACAATGTTGGGTTTAGGTGAACAGTTTATTTATTTATTTTTTCTCCAGAGTTTAATTCATATCAATAGGTTAGTTCTATGGTTTCTTTGATGCGTTGAAGGAAGGAGAGATCACATTCCCTGGCAATTCGGTCGAAAAAGTCGTCGTCGGATAATTTCTGTGTTTCCCCAAAATCTATTATGTGGCATTTGAAGGGAACTGTAGAGGTGTCGATTAGTACATTGTCGTCGTGGAGGTCCAGATGATTAAATCCAGCTTTGTGGAATTCTTGAACAGCTGTAACGATGGAGGAGTAGGCTTGTTGACACGTCTTTTTGTCGAGTTGTTTTAAAGCCTCGGTAAAAGTTATGCCGGGGCAAAACTCCATCACCAGGGCATGGGGGTCGGTTGTAACACCGAATAAGAGTGGAGCTCCCCCTGCCCCTGCCAGCTCGTGTAAGATACGGGCTTCAAGTGGTAATGCGTTGCCGTTGCGGAGTTTTTTAACGATTACTTCTGTTGTGTCGCCATTGTCACGGGTGAAGTTGTAGTGATCTGTCGTCCCGTGCAGTCCACCACCATTTATCTTCTGGTAGTGAAGGTTATCCCACGAAATTTTGGGGATATCGGAGGTGGTGGGGACAGGGGAAGAGGAAGAGGTTGAGCTGGAGACGGTGGTGGTGACGGGGACAACTGAAGACTTAAGGTTTTTGGTGTCTTCCTCGAGCTTCATTCGCTTTGGGTTAAGTGAAGACAGGAAGGAGGAGGTGGCTTTTCTTTTGATTCCTGGCTTCACCAGCTCCTGAGCCGCGTTCAGGTAAAACACAAACTGAGTCATCCTGAATGAATCGATGTAAAATACTTGGTGACTCACAGAGGAGGTCAAGTTAAAATTCGGCCTCTCAGTAAATATTTTCAAGTTTGTGTCGGAGTAGTGAACTGTGGTGAAGATGTGTATTAGTGTTATAGTGAAGGTGTGGTAGTGTGGTGAAGATGAGGTATTAGTGTTGTAGAGAAGATGTAGTGTTGTAGTGAAGATGTGTATTAGTGTTGTAGTGAAGATGTGTATTAGTGTTGTAGTGAAGATGTGTATTAGTGTTGTAGTGAAGATGTGTATTAGTGTTGTAGTGAAGCTGTAGTATTAGTGTTGTAGAGAACATGTAGTACGAGTGTTGTGGTAGTGATCTACCCAGCGTAGGTTCAGTGGTCTCTAGAAGGATATGACCAACTGGACATTTTAGGAGACATTCTTATCATAAACAGCCTTTTAATTCCCCCAACAGGTACAAGAACAAGCACCACCAGGTACCCTCAAGCACAAATAGGGTGGTGGACGAGTGGAACAAGCTTACCAACTTTGTAGTAAGTGTTTGAACGCTGGAAAGTTTTAAAAGGAGGCTAGATAGATTCAAGGATGATAGAGAGTGGTAGTAACTCTCGACAGGAGCTGCCATGCACAGCCCAACCGGCCTATTGCAGACTCCTTATTTTATTATGTTCTTATATAAGTACCAGTCGCAAACAGGTAGGGCCAGGTGGTTGCCCCCCCCCCCTCCCTCCGACACACTTGGTTAATTACTACTTCGTGGTGCTCCCATTTTACCTCACCTTACACCACCTTGCCTCACCTGGCTCAGATATCTGTGCTAATGGTGCTGATGAAGCATTAATGCTGACGTCATATTATTACCGTGTGTGTGTTGGGAGGGGGGAGATTTTTATGTTTCACGTCGCATTTTAGTACACATAGAAGCAAAAAACCCTTACTTACACACATGACACATGACATTGAGCCCATGTACACAAGCGGCATTTAGGACCTACGTGACAAAACTGTACCTACGTGGCACTCCGGAACGCACTTGACAATATTGTATACGCATAGCACGTTCATACACATATGGCACTGACCCCATACAGAACACGTGTACAGGTGTGATCGTAAATGTCACTATGTTTTGAACAGAAAGAGAAAATGCTAATGTAAGAGAGTTAGTTATACGTTAGAGTCGACGGTGAGAGAAAGATAATTTGGTTTGCGTTTTTAAATTCGTTAAGAACTATCTTCCAGGCCCGATATGGAGTCCTATTTCCCGATTTCCCGATACACAACCAGAATCTCCCGATATCAACCTTTTTTTAATTATTTAACAAAAATAATAGTCTCAGAATTCATCGTGCCACGCGACATTGTTATGCTTTATGATCATAATTTCGTTAATATTATCGTATTGAATTGTGGGTAAGCTGGTGCAGTGTGGGTAAATTGATGCATTGTGGGTAAACTGATGCATTGTGGATAAACAGCACTCAAAGAGGAATGGACTAGTTACAGTAATTAGCAGCAGTTTACCTGTATTCACTATGACGTCATGCAGAAGCTGACAGCGAACACGTCAGCTCCACCCAGTAGTCCTGACATGACCTTCTGATTCCTCCTGGCTGATGTCAAATCCTTCCTGTCAGCTGCTCTTGTCACTGTCAGATGAATTTGTGGACTGTCATTTTCTCCACCACCTTCACTTGTCACTGCCACCTTCAAATAATCCTAACAGCACCTCCACACACGACTGGTTCAAACACAACACTGACTGACAGACTCCTTCACTTGTTTCCACTCCTTGACCCCAGCACAACCTGCTTAGATAGAGAGTTGGACACTCAGTAGAGGTATCACTGCGTTATTATTCGTTAATATTATTAGTCGTGAATGAATATAAGAGCAAAACAAATATAGTGCAAAATGCTGAGGTCGGTATTTTTTTTTTTTTTTTTTATTTACGCCTATTGTTATTAAATTATAAGCGTGCTTTAAAAATTCTACTACTATGAGTTCATGTATACCAAGCAGGTCATTGTAAAACTGAGTTGTGGTGGAAATGTGAGAAAAGATCCAATAGTTGTTAAATGTATGAGAAAATAGTAGTTAAATAATATTTACAACATCAATAATTTTGATGAGGACTCGCAGTCCTGATTTGAAATGTGGACACAGCATCAACATTCCCAGAAGAAAACCGTACCTGATTTCTCTACAACCTTGTCCTTGACGGATCTTCTGAAGCAGTGTGATTTGTGTCCAGCTATTCTAGAAGCCCTACTGATCTTGACACTTCCTGCCTCCATTTGTGAAATAGAGCAGTCATTTAGCACACTGAGACATGTCAACACAAGGCTTCCATCAACAATGTCAACTGAACACTTGTCTGGATTGTGCATGCTCAGCCTACATCGCCTTCATTGAAGACGTAATTGATTGTTTTGGACGTACACTGCTAATATTCCGAGCAAGTCACCATCGTGAAAGACAGCTAGCATTGGCCATCCCTAGATTATCAGAATAAATGATATCAGATTAATTATTTTCGTTAGTTTTTAATGCTTAAGGTCAACCCTATGATAATTTTAGTGATTAATTATTTGGTGATTACACTGATAAGTGATAATAGTGATCATTACAGTACTCTAGATTAACTCGATTATACTTTATCACACTTTTATATGGATGTATGTACCTGTTTTTAATAAACTGATATGTCGGGTCTTGTCTAGCTTCCTTGCCCCTCCCAGCCCGGAAAAATCCTGCGGAAGCACATGCTCTCCAACAGTGCATAACTGAGAGTCAGTATTTGCCAACAGTAGTTAACAGAGACATGACCAACCTCTCAAGCGGCTAACAGGCCGATCAGTGGCGAAGAGGATAAAATAAAATAAAGTAAAGAAGTTATCCCATCAAAAGTTCCATTTTCTTTAATCGCAATAAAGAAAATGGTACTCATGAATTTCGTGAGTTTAAATGCGGGACTTAAATGACTTTGAATGAGATTAAATGTGGCAATTAAATGACTTTGAATTAGTTTAAAAGTTTTACCTTAGTATTAAAGAGACCAACCGAATACCACCTTAATTAAATGGCTAATAATAACAATAACAACAATAATACAGTAATATAAGTAATTTGTGAGGGAAACGTCATAGAAGAGAAGGTGTCTTAGAATTGTCTAAGCTATTGATTGCAAAGATAAAATTCTCTCTTTGTATCATTATAACTTAAACCAGTTTCATTAATGTTTCAAGTTCACAGTTTTACTCAGGGTAGTTATGTCCATCAATGAGGGGCTTCCCTCCCCCTTGTACAGCCAGTGGACCACCAAGTCAAACAGAGTTAGCCCATTAATCTTCCCCTCCAACAGATTCTTCATGGTGTGATTACTCAACCTCTCATGGTTTATCACTATTTCTTAGTCTTCCTGACAACTTCTGGGCACTCAAGAATTAAAAATCATTGCTTGGCTATAATAATACAGTAACTGCCTAACTGGGTTAGTCCAGGCACAGGCCAAAAAATCTTTTCAACCTGAGTTATGGCAGCTAATCTAAATATGAAATCAGCGGGGTGCTAATCTTCATGTGAACCTAAATATGTATACAAGATGGACTATACAGTACAGTATAACCATTTTAATATTCATAAATATTGAAGGACATGATTGACACAACACAAGGCAACCATAAACTTTTAATAATTAAAGTCTGCAGTAACAATTTCAGTTTATAATAACCTTTGTACACTACAACACAATACAGTGTTAAGCCTCCTTAACCCTATAATGGAATGTCAAAACTGGACGATAAATATTTTGTCAGATAACCAGGACAGATGTACACGAGAGCATTCATGGTAATGTGAATGTCAAGCTGGTAGATAAACAAACATTGATGGATAAACACTTCTATTTCAGTGCAGTTCTGATGATTACTAACAACCTTTCTGGTAAACAAGGATGAGTGAGGCTGTAGAGTGTACAAGCTCATATACAGTACACTGTACATATAGTATACAGTACTGTACAGAGTAGAGCATAACTGGAATGAATAACCATGAAAACTTTAGTCAGGTGAGATACTGACCTGACCTGGTGACAGCCAGAGCCCTCTTTACTGACCCTGGTTTGTTTGCATCATCATTCAGAAACTGATTTTCAAATTTATTCATGAATTCTACTGTATTTAAAATTACCCAAATTATGACTTCCCTCTGAAACAAGACTATGCAGTATACTGCTATGTATTTGTGGTGTTACAGTACAGTATAAGGTTTAGTTGTTTTCATGGTACTGTACTATACCTGTACTGTACTGCATTCACTAACTTTCAGAAACATTTACCGGGTATCTGATTATGTACATTTGTTTGTCTTTTCTGTACAGTACATGACTTAATTCTTTCTCTTGCACCCAGCTCAAGAGGTCACCAGTGGGCATCAAAGCTGTATTCAACAAGAAGTTTCTCTTTATTAATAAGAGTTTTAGTTCCTGACCTAAAGTGTTATGAAAATTAAAAAAAGAATTTCACTGCATAAGCTTTGGGAGTTAAATCCTCTATATTCCCTGTGTGTCATAACAAGCAACTAAAATGAGCTGCCAGGGTAAAGTAGGGTCTTGTCACTGTACATTACCTCTGAAGAAGGTGCTGAAAGACTCATCACAAGAGGTTTGCATTACCTCTTAAAACCCATTGAAACCTGAATGCAGTACTGTACAATACTATACTGTACATTATTCAGTGTAATGCAGAATTGTAAAAATATTTGCTTTAAATTTTCATCTAAAATTTGGCCACTACTGTATGTACAATCATGAATAGAAGTTCTGTCGCCTCTTCTGCTCCTCCACAAACCCCCAGGATTCAGACTCGTGATCGTGAACCAGGAAAAACTGATGCATTATTCTGTCCATAAATACTTTATATTCACCAGTCTAAATCTTGGGCTTCATGGAGGAGAAGAAGAGGCAACAGGACTTTTGCTTGCAACTGTACAGCACTGATTATATTGAGGAAACTCTCCCTCTGAAAGATCAATCATGGTGAAGGAGGAGGACCCCAATGATCACACATGACCTGTTCTAAAATTGTTTGATTGACGACATGTGGTTTTCCAATAGCCTGAGGATGGCTTACCAAAGGACACTATTCTATACAATGGACAAAAGAGGCATCAGGTATACTGTTAACAGAAGACAAGGTTGAACAGGTAGCCAATTCTCACATCTGGAGGAACAAGGCATCAGAAATACTCATGAATAAATAAAACTATTTTCTAGTACAATACAGTGCAGGGTGAGTCACTCGCTGGTAGCCCGGGAGTTTCACTAATGCAGCCCAATTTATGAGATATACAAGAGGGGAAAACTTAAATTACACAAAAGACTATGGTAATACAGGTATAACAAATAATGAATATATTAGCAATACTCTGGGGCTACTAGCAAGTGAATCACCCAGTCTGGAATATCTTCTCAATTTGGTGATAATCTATCCATTCTCACTTCTAAGATCTCCCCAAGTGATACAAAAGCCAAACCAGCCATGAATAGCATGAAGACATATCACCTTTATATACTCAGTATATATAAACTGTACAAAACACTAGACATTATCCACCAGTGTTAAATGTTGATTCTTATTATACTTGCATTACTATGAACTAGTTAAGCTTATATTCACAATTAAATGTATTAACAAAGGTAACTTCTTAACAGAGATATCTCAGGTAGATTCTACACATGTTAACCTGCATTAAACCTCAAGGAAACTTACAATAAGATGTTATTACAAGTTAACACTGTGGTATGAAGGACAAGAACTCCACCTACAGCTACAAAAACTTGAACAACTCACACATTTGTACCTCTTTGAGTAGCGTTTGATTTTCCCGACAAGGACTGTGGTGTGTGAGGGTCAGCTTGAGGTAGCCTTTGGCTCAGGTAACCCATAGTTCAAGTAGTTCTCACCTGTATGTAGCAAAACTGGGCTTTGGCAGGTAAAGTTTCATCAATCTTACCCATAATTGCATATAATCCTCTGAAAGAATTATAAGTTAAGGCTATGGCATTCTTATGTTTACTAAGTACTGTTGCCAGTCTAATATTTCACTTCCTGTAGACATCAGATGAGATGAAAGGCCTGCAGTGTTGTGTTACTATACTGTATAAACAACTTGCTAATGATACATAACTACAGTACAGTACTCCTACAGGACACACTGTACGGTGTATGGTCTGAAATGTTAAATTATTCAGCGAACTTTCTGTTTACTGTACTTAGATAAATAGTAAGGGTTAAAAGATAATGCACAAGCAGTATACGTAGTTCAGGGCAATTAAAAGTAAACTTAAGACTAACAAAAATGCATGACTGGACAAGTAAATTATAACCCAAAACTCTTTGTGTAAACTTAGTATAATTATTGGACAGAATTTTCTAACTAAACTTTAATATGCTGACATTTTCAATAAAGTCCTTGAAACCTACATATTTTTAATTACTGTAAATTATCCAACTTTAAACATAAACTCTTAAAATTATATTCACAAACCATCACCAGCCATTAACTCGACACAATAACTCATCTTGTTCCTCCGATACCAAGCTTAACTTTTACGACAAGCATCACGACTAGATTAGTTCCGAAAATGTGATTTCTACCATTATTCAGGAAACTCTTTATGTAATTAGAACAGAGACAACCATAAATAAGTTAACTTGTGGCAGAGGATAAACTAAAGAAAGTAAATAAGGTTTTATACATGACAGGACGCACTGAACGTTGCATCACACATCACCAACATGTTATTTCCTAATCAAACTGTCAACAAACTAATATACTATAGTGTACTACTAGGAGTGCGTAGATAAAGAAATCAAAGTAACGCATGACTTTACCAACATACAGCAATCGAGGGGTAAAGAAAAGTACAGTAAAATAACAACATTGTACTCTGGAAGGAACAAAGACTTAGGTTACTGTATTCTATATGGTGTGATGCTTGTGGTGGTTTAGTAACACAAAATGCAACATAAGGTTTGAGGAAATACATGCTAAGGTATTCTCATCGTCTACTAAGTGTTTGTGGTCATGCATTACTAGTGTATTATACAACACACGAAAAAATACAACAAAAGAATTCAAATCACGTAAGAGTGTTTGTGATGCTACGTCAACACAAATTATTACGCGACTTACAAGGAAGAATGATAAAGGGATTCCCTGTCACCTACCAGTGTTTGTAATCAACCATTAAAAACAAAATACTACGAACATTTTAAAGAACAATATCTCCTCCTCACCTTCCAAAATCTGAGACAACCCCCCCCTCCTTCCCCCTCCTTTTACACTGTATTGCATAAGGTACAACAATGAATAAATATGATACTGTATCTCATCACATACAGTACCAAAGGAACATACAATAAGAGAAAATATCACATGATGTACTAAGATAAATAACTAAGATATATCCCCATTATATACCAGTGCTTTGGGGTCATCCATTACAGCAGATATAACTGACGGGTGTGTCGGTGAAGAGACGAGGGAGGCCTTGGGTGATGTACACTGCACCAACGGCTATTTACCGCCCTCGTGTGTTTGGGTGATGTACACTGCATCAACGGCTATTTACCGCCCTCGTGTGTTTTGCCGCTAGTTTTTAAATTTGTTTATCTCCATTTGGGCGACACAGTAGACTAGTCTGATACTCACGATATTATTTATAGTATTAGTCTAATAATAATAATTAATAATAGAAAGTAATACTATAATAATGTTAACGATAGGTAGTAGTAATAATAATAATAATGCCAATGGACAATCTCATACAGTACAGTAACTTCAGGAGCTGGAAGCCTTATAGTTTGTACCCATTATATATTTTGATAAAGTAAAGTTGTACCTTTTTCACTGCAAGCTCTTAATCTTATTGCTACCACGCACGCACGCACGCACACACGCACACACAGTCATCATGGAAGTTTATTATTGTTTAGTCATATATTAACAAGATACATCCAGTAGATTCAGGTTCCTCCGCTGGACACACAACTGGGCCAGGAGACAATGATGGCCACAACTGCCCCAAGAGACAATGATGACCACAACTGCACCAGGTGACAATGGAGGCCATACCTCACTAAACTAAGGAGGGGAAATTGTCACTGTCATACTCGTCCAAGAGACCCATAACAGGTAGCACTGCACCAGAGATTAAGAGTTTGGTTTACTTGTTGTCAAGTTATTACATTCACAATCCAGACATAAACATGCATGATTGAAGACACACGGACTATTGCATTTCCAAGTCCTGTTTGGATACCTAGCAGGGGACAATAACTGCTCGAGTGGGAAAAGTCCAACTTACATACTGTCATCAGTACTCTCTAACATTCATGTTTGCCCATTCTTTTTTCTCCTATGTTTGGTATATCTTAATATTTCTTATATACTGTAACTGTTTTATATTCTAGAAAATTATTAAAAATACAGTGTACTGTATAGTACTTTGTTTTGTCTGAGGAATTATTAGGTGGGTTTAATGATGTTATAATGGAAGTTTGGCTGAGAATCATGTTGTGTGGACACTTGGAGGTGATGCTGAGAACACCTTATGGAGATGTACCTGTTATTTGATTAGATGTAAAGCACTTGGTGATGGCATCCCACTGTGTCATGACCCAAGACAAAGGCTTGACTCTACCAGCGAGTTAAGATCAAGACTGAAGGCTACTTGTTAGTCGTGACCAAGACTTGATCCTGCCAGTGGGTCGAGATGACGACTTGACTTCAACTGTAGGTCAAATCCAAGACATGAGTCTACCAGTACAATTATGCCATGCTCGGCATCTTATGGTTCCTGAAGAAGACCAAGTATTGATTCTACCAACAGACTGAGACTAAAACTTGAATCTACCAATAGACTGAAGCCAAGACTGAAGTTTTCCAATACGTTTTAACCATGATTCAAGGCTGAAAACTAAGTCTGCCTAAGGGCTAAAGTTAAGACCATGGTCTAACCTAAAATTAATTGGCTAAGATTCACTTCTTTGGCCATCTATCACAACTCAGTACCTTAAAAAGTCTTCTGTACAGTACATGAAGATTCTGCCTATGAGACTGAATTTTCTTACAACTTGGTTTCATCTGCTCTTTGGTGACTGCTTCACCTGGTGATAAGGACAGTATCAACCTGCGTGAGTCTGGTGAAGTGCTGGTGATATGAGGGGAGACGTAAGGGGTCATGGCGTAGTTGAGGTGATGCCTGTAGAAGGGTGGGAGTGAAGGATGGGGGCATCAGAGGCTCCAGATGAATGACCTCAGAGGCTGGACCACGTTGAGTCATGACCTCCTGCGTGGCTAAAGCACTATGGCGAATCCCATAGGCGAAGTAACATGCCAGGCCTGGGGAGAGGGACAGAGTGAGACATCCAGCAGCGGGAGATATGATAAACATCCATTAAGCCAACAATATTATGAGCTCATATAGATTTGTATCACAATATTTTGAAGATTTGTAATACAGCAAATGATTGATAAATTTGTTGATGAAATAGGCTTAAAGGTGTTTAGAATATATTACTCCATAAAAAAATATTTTCTGTTCATTCTACATCAAGCTCTCGGATAAAAATTTAGATATGAAATACTTCTCTGATTTATATCAATTATGATTTGACTGTGATGGTGCAGGATGACCATACCTGCTGTGGTGTAAAGTGTGAGGACGATCCAAGAGTGTCTCAACACCTGCACCAGGAGGATGACATTAAGAAGCAGAGCAGCAGCAGGGAGCCAGGGAGCGACAGGAACCCTAAAGGAGGCCAAATGGGTGGGGCGGAGTGTAGGTAGCCGGGTCATTAGTCCCACAATTACTAGTGTTGCCAACATGGATGTTGACAACACCACCACCTGGAACGGGTGATCCCGACCATCTTCCCAGCCATACACAGCCACCAAAGCTGCCACCGTCACTGTCACCAGTAATAATGATAAGGCCACACATGCTCTCCGTGCCGAGGCTGGAGTGGGGGTGCGGGGAATGCCTGTGTCCAGTGTGGCCACCCTCAGCTTCTCCTGATACTCTGCCACTGCTGCATCAATGTCATCCTCTACTTCTGTGTCGGTGCCATAGCCTGAAGCACCAGACTCTGTATCTGACACAGCTGTCTCCTGGCTGACACACTGAAACTGCTGCTGTTGACTCACTACATTATTATCCTGCTCTTGAAGCTCATGGAGGGGAGAGGTAAGGGTGTCAGTGAGAGGGGAGGCAAGAGGTGAGGCGTGAGGGTCCTCAGAGTTGTCAAGCAGAGGAACAACATCACGGGTGTCGAGGCCCAGACCGCTCACACCACTCTCAGAGTCCGGAGAGGTGAAGGGTGAGGTCTTATCCTTCTGAGTTCGAACTCTGTGAGGCAGGACCCGCATCCCATCCTGTAAAACACCAGTCACTTAGATCACACAAATACTAAAACACTATGTCATCATTTCAGGTTTTAAAAAGCAATTTAAGCTTATCCTACATACCAGTCAGGGTTGGAAAAACCCTGTGATAAATGATTTATGAGAAGACACTGTATTAAATAATGTCATAAATATCATAATGAAATAAAAAGTGTGAAAAACCATATGTTCTTATGCAACGTTGCACAGTATTTAGGTTAAATATGGACAAATAAAAAATAAATAAAGCTACAGCACTTAATTTGCTTTAATAAGACCAAAATTTGTGTTGGCAAGAATTCCTTTGTTTGTGTATTTTGAAGCATACAGTACTCTTAGAGATAAATGAAATTAATGGCTGATACAGTTAAACTGTACTGTACTGTACAGTGCTTAAGATAATTTGATAAAACAGGAAACAATCAAATCACATCACTTCTAAATTTGTCTTATTTCAAAATAATTAACATTTTTGAATCACAGCTGCTACTTTTAGCCACTGACTTGTCATTCTGAGAGTTGAAGAGGCATTAAAAAATGTATGTAATATGAAAATATTCATGCATGACACTAACATTTCAAAAATTGCTGATTTAAATAACTGTTTTAAATCGTTTGATTTAAATCATGGCAACCCTGATACCAGTGTACGTCAAGTAGTGGTTTGACCCTAAAATGGTGGAATATTAAAACTGTCTCCTCATTACCAAATTCTCACCTTGAGGAAGTGCAGGGTTCTCTCCTGACGGGAGTGTGGAGGAGCAACACGCTGATAGCTGTACGGGGTGCTGGAGGAGGCGGTGGCTGCCACAGAACACAGAGAACCATAAGAACACCTGTGGCGGCGGTACATGACCGTCAACACCACCACCACATTCAGGCACAGAGCACATGTAGCCAACACCTGGAGGAGAGGTGCTAAGCTTAGAGGTGAGTGTCATCACAGGTAGATTCATGGTTTTGTAAATGAATCAGAAAGCAATCACCAGATTATGATTTTCTTTCCTTCTTTTATGAGGTAGGAATTTACAGTACAGTAAATATTGCAAAGGAAATTAACTTTAACCAATAATGTCATGACCGCTGATACTGAAAGCATCATTACAGCAGAATGATGGAAATATGTCTGGATATTCTGTTGACACTGTGTCCATATTTCACACCAGGATCGCGACTCCTCATAAAAATTATCGATGTCGTAGATATAATTTAACTGTTATTTATTTCCTACATTCAGTAACCATTGGATCTTTTCTCACATTACCACCACAACTTGGTTTTACAAGTAACATGCTGGTATACATGAACTCACTGTAGCAGTCTTTGAAGCATGCATAAAATTTAATAATTTACGTAACAATATGCATACCGTAAATAAAAATTATAAATAAAAATCTCCCCCAACGGTACCGACATCAGAACTTTCACAATACTGTACTAGTTTTACTCAAATTTTCATTAATGAATATTATATAGTGGTTTACTGTAATTATGTGTCATAATGTACAAGACTAATTGTACAGTTACCCAAATATCATACTAGTTATTAAAAATCTTAACAAAGAACACACAGATAGTTGAGTTACATTACAATAAGTCAAGTACAGTATTTCTGAAAATTGTGAAATTAACTAACTGTAAAATAATGCTTAGACAGTTTAAATGACAAGTGGTCACGGCTTCATCATGACCTAACACCAGGTATACACATACTGTTCCTCTGTGACGTGGACATCATGATGGTCTAACCTGAGTCAGCCAGTCAGGCCCAGACACCAGTTGTCACTCTTACCAATGACATCATTATTCTCCCACACTGAAGAATTGTCAAAAGTACCGGCTTATCACAAGTGACCGTTGGAGGAATGTTAAGGCACAAACAGTTCACTTAAGAACTTGTAATATTATACGCACATTGTGCACAAGGACTGTAGAAAAAAGAACACTTCAGACTTCCCAGGGGGTATAAGTGCACCCCCTTGCACCCCCTGTGGACGCCCATGCATGTGTGTAAAATTAGTCATTACAACTAGGCCAACATTCTACCTCCATTTAATACTGTATTGTTATTTTACAAATATAATTAAGTCTTATATATAAATTTGTACGTTTTCTAGCTAGTAAAATGTGCATGTGCATGATAACAGTGTTTTTCTTGGACTAAACATAGATATACTGCAATAGAAACACATCACTTATGATATAGGAGTGAAACCTAACCTAACCAAATCCTCACTTATCAAAATCTAACCTAACTAATCTATCTTAATTTATTGTGATCAAGTCTAACTAATCTAATCTACCTGGCATATCCTAATCTAACCTTACCAGTCGAATATACTTGGGTCCCTAATAAACCTGAAATCCATTTATTCTAATTAATATTATGTTAATCGTCAACGTAATATTAATTCTGCAAAAAACTAATAAAGTTCCATTTTCTTAGTAAAATTTATGTAGCCAAGGATAATTTCTTCATATAACTCTATCCAGAATTAACTGCATTATAATTATTCTATATATTATTATTATTATTATTATTATTATTATTATTATTATTATTGTTATTATTAGCCATTTAATTAAAGTTATATCTCTCAAAGTCATTTAATTCTCGCATTTAATCGCATTCATTTACTTTATTTACGTCCATTTTTTTTGATGCAATAAAAGAAAACGAAACTCTTATATGGGGAAACTTCTTTATATTTTTTTATTTTATCCTTTTTGCCACTGATCGGTTTGTTAGCTGCTTGGGAGGTCGGTAACGTCTCTGTTAGGCACTGTTGGCACTGTGGGCATGTATAAGCTCTCTGTTACGCACTGTTGGCGATTCCCACTCATCTTCTCCCCCACTCCTACTTTCTCCCACTCATCCTTTCTCCTACTCACCCTCGCTCCTACTCACACTCTTTCCCATTCACCCTCTTTCCTATTCACCCTCTCTCACTCACCCTCTTTCCCATTCACCCTCTCACTCACTCACACCTTATCCCACTCACACTCTCCCACTCACCTGCAGGACGAGGACGTGACTGAACAAGAGAGCGAAGAGGGCAGCCAGGGAGCCTCCAAACAGGTGGGCGTGGGCGTGCGAAGAGGTGCGGGAACACTGGTGGGCGAGGGTGGACGGGAGGAGACCATCTGTGGCTAAGGATACCAGCTGTCTAGAGAGTGGATCGGCAGCTTCCACCAGCGCCAGGCACAACATCACCACCTGCAAGAGGAAGATGGCCTTGTAGGTAGAACAGGTAGAAAAATCAGACGTGCTTAAAAAAATAAGAAATTCCCTAGATGGCGACTTAAAGACATTTCAGACATCTTTATAAATTACTTACACTATATTGAAGACATACTGAACATGTTTGGGCATATTGGACATACATTACAAAGGTGACATTGGACATTCCTGGAAGAAGCCATGGTTAGACACACTAGACAGAGAACATACAGTAGTTAGACATACAGAAGACAGAAGACATACCTGGGAGGAACCGAGGACGAGTCTGGCCCAACCAACATCACGGCGCTCCAGGGCCTGTATGAGTGGGGCGCCCTTCGGGAGTATCCTGACGAAGAAAGACCTGCTTAGACACGGGTTCCTTAACATAGGAATAATGGGAGTTGTTTTCTAATGGGGTTTTTGGTGTTTTTCGAAGAGGAGTTAGTATCTACGAAGTTAAAGGTCTCTAAATGAAGAGGATTGGTTTCTATTATGAAATTGGTCTCTAACGAGGATTGTTTTGTAAGGGGAGTTGGTATCTAGAAAGGCAATGAAGGTTGGCGTCTAAATGGGTTCGGTATCTGAAGAATTATGGTCTCTATATAAAAACGGTTTCTAAAATTCTACCTAAGGTGTTGTGATAGAAGAGAACATGTCTAAAGGAAAGGATCGGTCTCTAAATGAAGGGCTCGGTCTCTAGAAAGGAGTTTATACTTTAACTGCACGAAACTTGCATGCTTACAACTAGGTTTCTCCTGACTTTAAGCATACGCGTCTGGTCTCTAAATTTATCTGGTTTCTAATAGATAACTCGGTTTCTAAAATGTTTTATGTAAGTTCCTAAATTCCGTAAATAACTGGAAAACAAACGAAGTACAAAAAAGTAACAAAAACTGTAAATCTCAGACGTAAATAATAAAAATGTAAATCAGTAAAAAAAAAATATGTAAGTCTTAAAGGGAAAAAACAGCGACTTCCTAACTTCTTTTTCTCTTGGATGATAAAAAAAATATGTCCGCGTCAAAGTTTTCACCAAAAGTGGCAGTCAGGGAATGTTACCTCTAAAACTGAATTTATTATTAAAATTCTCGAGAGATGCGTGTTCCTGGTTTTGTGGCTGGCTAAGGCTTGGTGAGACGAAGTGACTGAGTAAGTTTTGGGGGCAGACTATAGGAAAGTATGATGAGACGACTGGAATGAAAGAAGTACTGTATTGATGTGGAGTCAAGTACCATGAACAAAGGGGCTACATGCCTACATCTACTTACTAAATTTCTTATTCTAAGGACAGATAAACACACAAATACTCACTCATTCCCTGTCATGAGGGTGAGGACAATGCCGAGGGCGAATAAGGCGAGGAAAGTGAGGCCAGTGGCGAGGGAGAGGGCGATAGGTAAAGCACGGTGAGGTCGCCTATGTACCTTCACCAGTCGGCCCGTCTCGTAGAAACCACTGTACACCGCCATACACACAGCCGCCCCAGCCAGCAACTGTAAAAACAAAGTTGATCAGTAATTGGTGAGGAAGTTGTGATAAAGATGATGATTGTTGCGTCGTATTGGTAAAAGAAGTTGAAACGAAGATTGTGATATAGTGAGTCGTGGTGTTGGTGACGCGGTTGTGATGAGGCGAGACTTTTTTTTATTAAAGAATCTGCCATAATTATATAACATTATTAATCGCATTTTCTGTAACTTGTTGTTGTTGTTGTTACTAGTTAATTGATATTATTATTTATGAAAAGAATGAGAGTTGTATCCCTGTGTTATGAATTTATTTCCTTCAAACGATATTCTCGGTTATCTATCCAAATAAAAACCAACTTTCTTCCACTTTGAACAGATCTATAAGGGTTTTGGGCTGAAATATATAATAATTAAGAGCTAAAATTTTGTCTATAGTTACATACAGTACATATAATAACACTGGTTAGTCACGTGATGTAAACAAAGGTAAATAATGAGCTTGTTATACCGAGTGCCAGTGAGTGAGGAAACTGTCCAGAAGCAGGTGGTGATTGGGTAACTCGATGGGTATTGAACACGTACTGTACAGGTCAAGATCGCGATGGTTAAGTGGGTAGGAAATCGGTTGTGTGTCCCTGAGAGGTCTTTCAATACAACCCTACGCCAATACGCTCCCTACGCCACACGCCTGTATTCCTATCCCCACAACTCCTACGCCAACACGCTTCCACGCCCACACGACCATGCCCCTCGTCATAACTGAGAGGCGGCAAATTACCTTCGTGGTTATAAGGCACTTGGGCTTGTTAATTACCAGACGGACAGAAGAAAGGAAGGAAAGTCGGACAGAAGGAAGGAAGGAAGGTCGGACAGAAGGAAGGAAGGAAGGAAGGTCGGACAGAAGGAAGGCTGACTTAGGGAGATAATGAGAGAATAAAACAGAAATAAGGGAGACAAAGACTTAACTTCAGTGTTTCCTTTCCTCACACTCAATCTTCCAGTCGTGTGTGTGCGTGCGCGTGAGTGTGTGTGTGTGGCGGCGACCCCTCACAATGAAGCGTGGAAAAGATTGCCCTGAATAATTTCAATGGAATCGATGACATCACGCTGACGTCATCATGAAATATTGAATAACTTCTCAGTGGAACCCAGAACCACCACAACAAACCACGCTGAGAGTCTGGAGAACAAATGAGCATCACTTCTTCCTAACCACGGCCTCCTCCTCCTCATCCTCCCCCTCCTCCTCCTCCTCCTCTTCTCTTCCTCCCCCTCCTCCTTCTTATGATCTTCCCTTAAAATAAATCACTCGTGGTTTCAGGTGATTCATCCTTTTTTTTTAATTAAACTATCGAGTTATTGCATTATCGAAACACAAATCCGGTTAGGTTAGATTCGATTACATTAGATTAGGTTAGGTTTTTTCTCTAAATTTTTTCCCCCTGACATTTTTTCCCCCTGACATTTTTTCCTCAGTACTTGGTCGATCTCCCTTTGTTTCCCGCACACGGAGACTCACCCAATACACATAACATCATCCAGCTGTTATGTCCAGGCTTGCTTCTGACGTTACACCTCTCTCTCTCTCAGACAACCACTCAGACGTCCAGAAGATTGAGTCAAGAACACTTCACTGTGTCTTGCGTAAATTTGTTGTTGATTAAAGTGTTTGGATGCTGTCAGAGAGAACGTTCTTGTGTATTTTGTTTAATATTTCTATCTTGTTTATTGTTTTCTTACTTGTTTTAGTTTTGTTTTTTAAGTGTTAGCGTTTGTTTGTTGATTTGATGTTTAGCGTTTTTTGCTTAATTCTAGCGATCTTTTTGTTGATTTAAAGTAGAGTGTTTTTAGCTTAATTCTAGAGCTTACTAACATATTTTTCAGTTTAGCGTTTTTTAACCATTTACGTCCCTGAGCCGAGTCAAATTAATATAAGTTTTCACATTTTTTATTATTTTTTTTTAGGTATACGAACGAGATACTCGGCATTATTCTTTACTTAAATTAAATTATAATAAAACACACATACAAAACATGTGAACATCGACAATAAACACTTAAACCAAACAAAGACAGAACTTAGCGACTATAAACGAATCAAAACAAAGGATAAACAAAAGAGGTTCTTGATCTGACTTTCTGCCTCATTTACACACAATTGCAGGTCTCAATTGTTTCTCTTACTTTGACAACACAACATACACTACATATATAATTTCTCACTATTGATATGTTTTTTTTTCTTTGTGGTTTATTATTATTATGGAATATTTTTAAGGAATGGCCCCTCACCAGCCGTAAGGAAGGATTGGAGGAAAAAAGATTGGTTGAGGAGGCAATCTGAGATGCGGGAATGTGATGATTGGCGCGACACCTGATTGCGTAATGGAGCCGTCAGCCTGCGGGACAACAGCTGATGACGCAGACACCCTCCTGCTCCTCCTCCTCCTGCTCCTCCTCCTCCTGCTCCTCCTCTTCCTTCTCCTCCTCCTCCTCCTCCTCCTCCTCTTCTTCCTCTTCTTCGTTATGTTCAATTACTTTTTTACTTATTTTTATCTCGTACTTTTCAATTTTCTCTACGTTTTTGTATCCCGGTTTACACAACACACACACACACACGCAGCTCCCTCCCTCCGCCCACATAGCACTCCCCCCCACGCCCACACTTACCTCAGAGGACCCAATGTTGAGGGCGTGGTGGATATGCTCCGGGTTGTCTTCAGTATGGAGGCCGCCCACGATCAGGAAGAACACCAGCCCGCCCACAGTCGTCACGCTCATTGTCACCCTCAGGAGTCCGGCTTGCTGTGTTGGGGAGGAGGAGGAGGAGGAGGGGACGAGGAAAATAGGGGAGAGAAAGAGGAGGAGGAGGAGAAGATGGGACGAGGAGGAGGAGGGGAGAGGAAAATAGGGGGGAGAAAGAGTAGGAGGAGGAGAAGATGGGACGAGGAGAGGAGGAAATGGAGGTAGATAGATGAAAAGGAGTAAGAAAAGAAGGAGTAGAGTTAGTGAGAAGAGGGGAAGGAGAAGAGGAGGAGGAGGAAGAAGAGAAGAAAAGAGACAAATTAGTGAGATGATTAACATACAGTACATACACCTCTCACTGTATCTCTCATGTGTCTTCTGAATCCCTGAATTTAAACGGCTCTCTCTCTCTCTCTCTCCTCCTGTTCTCTATATCTCTCTCCTCTGCCTCCCTGAGAGACCTTTTAAAACAACTGAGATTCTCCTGTTTCTATCACTGGTGAGATCCTGTGTCCTAGCCCTCAGCTCTGTGTCCTAGCTCTCCCACGCCCTCAGCTCTGTGTCCTAGCTCTCCCACACCCTCAGCTCTGTGGCCTAGCTCTCCCACACCCTCAGCTCTGTGTCCTAGCTCTCCCACGCCCTCAGCTCCCAGGTCCGGCCTCCCACGCCCTCAGCCTCTGTGTCAGCCTCCCATCGCTCAGCCTGGGCAGGTCCGAGCCTCCCACGCCCTCAGCTCTGTGGCCTAGCTCAATGCCCTCAGCTCTGTGCTGTCCTAGCCTCCCACCCTCAGCTCCTGCAGTCCGAGCTCTCTCCCACGCCCCTCAGCCTGTGTCCTAGCTTCCCAGCCACCCCTCAGCTCTGTGTCCGAGCCTCTCCCACGCCCTCAGCCTGCAATGAGCCTCCACGCCCTCAGCTCTGTGTCCTAGCTCTCCCACACCCTCAGCTCTGTGGCCTAGCTCTCCCACACCCTCAGCTCTGTGTCCTAGCTCTCCCACGCCCTCAGCTCTGTGTCCTAGCTCTCCCACGCCCTCTCCTACGTGTCTCTACCCAACCATCCCCCACCCCACATCCAACCCACCTCTACCCCACCTTAGCCCACTCTATAACCCACCTCTAGACCCAAGGCGAGGATGACGGCGACGGAGAGGGAGGCCCCGGCGGCGATGAAGTCAGGTGGAAGGTGAGAGGCCGGGAGGCGACCTATACGCGAGGCCACAAAACTCTCCACCTTCCCTCCACACAGGTAGTCCATGGTCGCCGACTGTCACGGAGAGGAACACACAGGTTAATTACAGGTGTGTGTGTGTGTGTGTGTGTGTGTGTGTTATCTGATACTAGTACATCTGAGATTTACTAATTAACTCACACTGTACACCTGAGTTTTAATTACCAGACTAAAAACAACAATAAACACGTCCCTTACCTGTATAAGACCAACCAAACAGCTTTAAATACTTACCAGGGCCTTACTGACGGCGGCCAGGGAGGAGGCGGTGAAGAGGATGTTGATAATCCCCAGTAAATAGGCTACTAGTTCCCCCACTAGCTGGTAGGTGGCCGTGTACACCTGTCCTGATGATTGGGTGTTCCAGGTAACGAGCTCAGCGTAGCAGAAACCTGGGAGGGAGAGAAGAGGGAGAGGTGAGAGGTAAGGGGTAAGGGGTGAGAGGTAAGGGGTGAGAGGTGAGGGGTGAGAGGTGAGAGGTGAGGGGTAAGAGGTGAGGGGTGAGAGGTAAGAGGTGAGGGGTAAGAGGTAAGAGGTAAGGGGTGAGAGGTGAGGGGTAAGGGGTGAGGAGTGAGAGGTGAGGGGCTGGTTGGGAGTACTACCTTCTCACTGCGCCCTGCCAGGTTTAGGGTGATGGAGGGTTACGCCTGTCACACCTGAGTAGTTACCTCCAGGCGGCGGGGATGGAGAGAGGCAGAGAGAGAGGCAGAGAGGGAGAGAGAGAGGGAGAGAGAGAGGGAGAGAGGAAAGGATGGAAGGACGTAGGGATAGACGGAGGGAAGTAGAAAGATAGAAGAAGGGAGGATGGAAGAGAGGGAGGGGGTAGGAAGAGAGGGAAGGAGGGAGGGGGAGAGAGAGGGAAGCAGAGAGGGAGAGACGCAGGGAGGGAAGAAACGAGGGAAAGAAGGAGTATATATACGTTTTTCTCTACCGTAAACAATAAACACGTCCCTTACCTGTATAAGACCAACCAAACAGCTTTAAATACTTACCAGGGCCTTACTGACGGCGGCCAGGGAGGAGGCGGTGAAGAGGATGTTGATAATCCCCAGTAAATAGGCTACTAGTTCCCCCACTAGCTGGTAGGTGGCCGTGTACACCTGTCCTGATGATTGGGTGTTCCAGGTAACGAGCTCAGCGTAGCAGAAACCTGGGAGGGAGAGAAGAGGGAGAGGTGAGAGGTAAGGGGTAAGGGGTGAGAGGTAAGGGGTGAGAGGTGAGGGGTGAGAGGTGAGAGGTGAGGGGTAAGAGGTGAGGGGTGAGAGGTAAGAGGTGAGGGGTAAGAGGTAAGAGGTAAGGGGTGAGAGGTGAGGTGTGAGGTGGGTGAGGGGTGAGAGGTGAGGGGCTGGTTGGGAGTACTACCTTCTCACTGCGCCCTGCCAGGTTTAGGGTGATGGAGGGTTACGCCTGTCACACCTGAGTAGTTACCTCCAGGCGGCGGGGATGGAGAGAAGGAGAGAGAGAGGCAGAGAGGGAGAGAGAGAGGGAGAGAGGGAGAGAGAGAGGGAGAGAGGAAAGGATGGAAGGACGTAGGGATAGACGGAGGGAAGTAGAAAGATAGAAGAAGGGAGGATGGAAGAGAGGGAGGGGGAGAGAGAGGGAAGCAGAGAGGGAGAGAGAGGGAGAGAAGCAGGGAGGGAAGAAACGAGGGAAAGAAGGAGTATATATACGTTTTTCTCTAACGTAAACAAACTTCACCTTTGCTGAACACTAAATCCGGATTCTTATAGAGTCATGTAATAAATTTCCCTCCTCGTCTACGAACTCTCCTTAATTTACAACACAAAGATGGATTCTCAGAGGTTCGTCTTGAATTTATCTTTAATTGATAGTAAGGAGGGTTCTAATTGCCCCATTTAAAATACGATACCGAGATAGTTAAGTTAGTTAGAATGTTAGAACGTCTGTAGCTCAAGCTAAAATACGATACCAAGATAGTTAAGTTAGTTAGACTGTTAGAACGTCTATAGCTCAAGATACAACAAAAAAATAAATAGATTCACAAAAATTCGTAAATCTTAACTTGGATACGTGGGAAAAAAACCCACACACACAAAGATGGCGTCACTATTGCTCCGAGACTCTTCAGTAAATACGATCGCCACCTTAAGCAGAGAACGGGGGAAGGTACTGTACGTTTGGTTAACTTTCCCTCCTCTCCCCCCCCCCCAAAAAAAAACGGATGGAAAGGACATATCAGGCTCTAGGGTCTCTGGGGGTCTTTAGGCGGTCTCTGGGGTTCTCTAGCGGTCTTTAGTGGTCTTTGGGGTTCTCTAGCGGTCTTTAGTGGTCTCTGGGGTTCTCTAGCGGTTTTCATTAAATAGAAAAATGCAGCTTAGGAACCATATTTGAAAACGCCTTAGAAAACAATGATCTTCGTAATGAAAACCAGTGCCCGGAGACCCTGAGTTACCCCCCCTCTCTCTCTCCTACCACAATTTGAGAATTAGCGGTGAGCCTAACAAGAAAACAAACCCCTAAGTCAAAAACAAAAAGGAAATGATCAGGTTTAGGGAAGTTAATGAGCCATGTTAAAAGGAGAAACAAGGGAGCAGATAGTTTAGAGATAATAGTGTTGGGAGGAGGAAGGAGGGAAGGAAGGAGGGAAGGAAAGAGGAAGGAGGAGAAGGGAATGGAAGAAGGAGGAGGGAGGTAGAGGAGAGGGAGAGAGGTGGCAGGAGGAGGGAGAGGAGGAGGAGGGAGAGAGGGAGAGAGGGGAGAGGGAGGTAGGAGAGGAGAGGGGAGAGGAGGCGTATGAGTATAAAAGGCCAGGCCATTAGACTTATACGCGTCGGAACTGATTTACATTCTGACCAACACGAGGCAAACAATTTCTCTTCTTCTTCTTCTTCCTTCTCAAAATATCATCGTCCTCTATATCTTCCTCCAGCATAAATTTTAAAAGTTTTAGGCTTGTTTTGTCTTAACTAAAATTTATTGCCAAAGTTTATGTAGTTTCTTTTTTCTCCTGATCAAAGTATAGTGTGTAGAGTCTCCCGGAGAGACTTAAGAGACTCTCAGAGATAAAAGTAGAGAGAGAGACACAGAGAAAGTAGATACAAAGTATATAAATACTTCAATATTTACGCCGCCAAAATAAAGAATAAATTAGAAAGTATTTATCAGGATTCTACTGTTATTAGATTCTCCAGTAACGACTAATGCCATCGCCACTGTAGGCAGAAGGCTGGCGAACGTGTCCAAAGATTCACATACAAACACACACACATACACAAACACACACAGGGAAAAGCAATAGACGGACAGTAAAAACGAACATCACGCCCATATGTACCCTGGCAGCTGGGAGGAATGGTTGTGGATGTCATTGATGTGGGGATCAATTCCATCTGAATCCTCTTTCCTGGGTCCACGCGCGATCCTCTTTTGTTTATGCCCGACCTGGTTGCTCGCCTCATCTCTCCGGCCCTATAGCCTAGCGAGGGATTCAGTTGTCTATAATACTCTCTCTCTCTCTCTCTCTCTCTCTCTCTCTCCTCCTTTATCTTAGGCTTACCCCCAGACGCTGATGACCCAATACCCTCTCGTGGGATTCAATTCTCTTTCGTTTATACTCAAGAACTGTGCCGCCCCACCTCTACATGGTGATGACCTCATAGCTTCCTGTAGGATTCAATTCCTTTCCCCGGGCTGACATGTGATGATTGTCTTTATACTGTCTTGCTTCAACTCCACATACGCTGGTGACTTTATAACTCCCTACAGGATACAAGTCTCTATATAATATTTTCTAGGATGGATGTGCGATCGTCTTTTGTTTATACCCAAGTTGGGCTCACCTCTACACTAATGACATTCTAGTATCATATGTGCCCAACTTGAGACAAAACAATAACAATGGACACGAAGGCTATACATCTATTTCGTTCTCTGTCAATCTACCCATAATACACACTCGTACACGAAATATATTACCAAACACATATTCATACATGAAATATATATATACAGGATATATTTCACGACATAAACACGAAAATATCACTTCATATATACGTCCATGGATACAAAAAGAGCCTCGTGTACACATTAACACGGGGAAAAAATACAATCTCTCTCTCTCTACCTGCAGTGTGTACAGGAAGTGGTAGAAAAAGATTGCCTGCACACACACACACACACACACACACACACACACACACACACAGACAGACAGGAAAATATACAAAGTTTCTCACTCAATTCAGGAGAAAAATATTGATATTTTTCAAACCTATTTCATACTTAAGACGAAATAGGATGAATGGGAGAAAGAAAGAGAGAGAGAGAGAAAGAGAGAGGTAGAGGGATTAGAGAGAGAGAGAGGAGTACAGGTTCAAGTGGTGTGTTGAATATTCATGATACAGACAACAGCAGGAGGCCAGTTGTGAATGTATGACTGAGGGGGGGGAGGGGGGAGAGTGGTGGGAGAGAGAGGGTGTGGAAGGAGGGGGAGGGTATGTAGGGAGAAAAAAATGACAATAGAGGAAGAAGAGAGAGAAAAGAGACAAAGAAAGAGTGAGAGAACACACACACACACGGTCCTCTAGGTAGCATAATTCAGGTAAGTCAGTCAATAGCCTCGGGGGCAAGGAAGTGAAAACCCACACAATATATATTTTAAATTTTGGAGACCCACTGTGTTATTCCCTAAATGTTTATAGTAGTAGTAATAGAAATAGTAGTAGTAGTAGTAGTTGTAGTAGTTGTAGTATTAATAATAGTAGTAGTAGCAGTAGTTGAAAAAGCAGTACCAAAGTAAATTTACGAATCTCTGAAATTGCGAATCCGATTCTCTCTATAAGGGAATCAAAGACAGGATCAAACACTACCTCCGATGCCCTTTTTTTTTACTGTTTATGCATCTCATTTCCCTTATAGCATCATTCACAACACCCACCACCTCTAGTGTCCCCCTTTTTAAGTGATTTTAACTCGTATAGTCTCTCGTCTTAGAGGTTTAAATTAAAGTCTGGTTTACGAAGGAGGGAATGAGATGTTTATATGATAGATGGATATTAAAATAAGTATATAGACACGGCGGATTCCAATTATTGAGAGAGGCCTTTGCAGTATGCTATGTGGGGCGAGAGAGAAAATTAAACATTTCTCTCAAAGGCAACAAAAGCAAGGACTCTCTCTCTCTCTCTCTCTCTCTCTCTCTCTCTCTCTCTCTCTCTCTCTCTCTAGGAAGCTGTGCACGAGAAAGAGAGTTAAAAAAAAGCTATCTTTATTAAAGGCAAGACACTGATGCCTTTCTTATATGCAAATGAAGGTACATGGTGGTGAACAATGTAGTAATGACGCCACCTGATGACCGGAGGAGAGAGAGAGAGAGAATATTAAAGACGACACATAATATTCAACCAATCTATCCTTGGTAACTGTAAACTCTATCTATCCATCAATCCCCACCTTAGAATACCCCCCCTTAAATCCCTATCTATCCATCATCATCCATCCCTTTAAAAAGATCACAATTACTCCTAAAATAACATCATCCATCTATCCATCATCATCCATCCCTAAAAAATAACATCATCCTTAAAATAATCCATCATCCCCCGTCTCCCCCACGAGCCTAAAATGTAAACACGAGGTCGCTTAAACTCCGAGGCTAAGGACCCGTGGACGAACCCCCCCCCACCCCACCCCCCCACCCAAACCCTCCCAAGCTGTCACACCCACGATTAGCATGTAAACAAACTGTATCTAGTAGTGTAGGTTTCTCCCGGGTTACATAATATGGGTCATGAGAGAGAGAGAGAGAGAGAGAGGTCGATATTCCAGGAGTGTTCAGCAGTTGATAGTAATTCCTTCGCGCAACATCCAAGTAATTTATATCACCCACGCCACCCACGCCTCTTGACAACCCACGTCTCTCCCACGCCTCTTGATAACCCACGTCTCTCCCACGCCTCTTGATAACCCACGTCTCTCCCCCGACTCTTTGACACACACACGCCTCTTGACAACCCACGCTTTGACATCCACGCCTCTTAACATCCACGTCTCTTGACAACCCACGCCTCGTTGACAACCCACGCCCTGCCCCCCGCCCTCTGCCACCCACGCCTCTGGACACCCACGCGCCCTCTGCCCCCCACGCCTTCTGCCACCCACCTCTTGACATCCCACGCCTCTTGACAC